TACATCCAAGTTCTGAGTGTTTTCAACAAATGATGTTTAAAGCTGAGGAAAAAGCAAGTTCATGCGTGAAGGAGGCAGTTGAATATAATAAAGAGAGGTGGGATAAGTCTCATAAAGACCATGACTTACAAGTGGGTGAACAAGTTTTAATTTCCACGGTAAATTTTAATAACTTGGCTGGCCCTAGAAAATTGAAAGATGCCTTTATTGGACCCTTTGTTATCAAAGCATTCCATGGAAGGAATGCCGTGGAGGTGATCCTTACAGAACAATTTAGCCAAAGACATCCCACTTTTCCTATAAGTTTGTGTAAGAAGTATGTTGATCCTACAACTAATCCTTTGCGAGTTGAGCAAGATACAATCCTTCCTCCTATAGAAACTGAAGTATCAGACAAAGTCCCTTACAAGATTTTAGGTGAGAAGATTGTCAGAAAACAAAGCAAAGACTGTAAACTTTATTTGGTTAGGTTTAAGAATTGTCAACCTGACCAAGATATGTGGTTGGAAGTTGATAAGATTAAGAATTGTCAGGTTCTGTTAAGACAATTCAGAGCTTCCAAGAGGTCAAAAAATTCCTCATAGAGTAATTTTTTTTTTGGTGGGGGCGAATGTCAGACACTGAGGCTGTAGCCCATGTGTCTACAACCTGTACTTAACCAACAAACACATGTACTATAGTGTATTGGTTAAGGACTGTGACTTTGCCTCACCAACACACTTGGGTTCAAATCCCAATTATGTAATCTTATATTTTTATTATCTTATTTTTATACTTTTATGCTTTAAGTAATTCCACGGAATTACTTAAGTATTCACCTCTGTATTAATATTCATATTTATATACATACAATTTGAAATCTTAATCATCTCTCTATACTCTGTAATTAGAGAGATGACATCATTCTTTCTCCTTTGAGCTTGAATGACATCATTTCCTCCACTTCTGGTTTAAAGCTTAATTTAAATACATCTTTTGATCATTTATGATTATATACATAAATGATCCTCTGCAGGCCTCACCGGTCTCACAGGCAGGTTGACCCCTGCCTTTGTAATACTTAAGGGGGAGGTCTTCTTCCCAAGAATCCCCCCCCCAGAGATTATTACCATACAACCCGTGCACCTTACATACAATTGTGAGTGGGGTTATCATTTAATCTATTACTATCCATCCCCATTATCCTTATCCTTATCCTTTATCTCATCCCTAGACTACAGTAAAGTCAATACTGTAGCCTAGAAGAGAGTTGAACCTTCCTCTAAGCCCGGCGCTGCGACAACTCTACCGCACGCGTCCCCTATAAACTTAGGGAGCTTAACCCCTCCGCTTTCTAGCGTCGAGGCGAGGTTTCTTATCCACTGGCTGCTAGTAACACTAGCAGCTATAGTGTGAACCTGTAAACCCTATCAACGCCAGGTCACTCAAGAGACCGGCGCTGACACTAACGCTACGGTTAGCGGAGCTGGCCCACCATTGTATCAAGCAATACATGTTGAGATGGACTGGAGGCAACAGATTTAGAAAGGGTAAGTTCATTTGAAGATTCAGAGAAAGAGAGAAAGAGTGAGAGAAGGGAGAGAAAGAGAAGGACTAAACTGGAGGCAACAGCTTTGGAAAGGATGAGGAAAACAGAATCCTTTCCACCACTGTTGGTGCTGTTATAAGAACTAAAGAAAACATGATGAATGTCACAGACTGTGACATGTGAGAAATGAAATCAGACAGAGGCACACTAATAGAGATGGTCGAAGGGTATCCGTCGTGGATACCCGTTATCCGCTGGCGGATACCCGTTATCCGCTGGCGGATACCCGCCTGTGCCAACGGATACCCGCCAGCGGGTGCGGATTTGGGTGCGGATGGCCCCTTTTCCGCAAATTGCTGGCGGGTATCCGTGTATCCCAAAGGATACCCGCGGCCGGAAGGGCAGATGGCCGGCTGGAAGGAAGCCCTTCCAGCCGGCGAGTACATGTACCTTGTCGACTGGAAGGGCTTCCTTCCAGCCGGTCCGTCGCCGGCCCTTTAGAGGGCGGGTATCCGAGGATACCCGCTCGGATACCTGCTGCGGCCGACGGATACCCGCTAGCGGGTGCGGGTGCGGATGCGTATGTGCAATTTCGCTGAAATCGCCATCGGATATCCGCATCCAAACGGATATCCGGATGCGGACCGACCATCTCTACACACTAACAACTGTAGCTATGGAAGTAAATAGAAAACATGACATACGTATCTCAACAATACGTCAGGGAAGCTATGATTTTTCTCTACTCTATGAATATAGAAAACTAGCTCACAATAGCTCTTATGTCTTTAGTTGCTCACAACAAAGAAAAGCCCAAAAGAACAACCAAAGGCTATCCTACTGGAAAATTCAAAGGTATGTCTATAAGAGACCAGTGAATCAGTGATGAGAAGAAAGACCTGACATTCTTCATTGGCATTGATAAAATGTACAGAATTGGGAGAAAGGCTTCTCAATTGTCTAAAATAAAAAATCTTAGAAAACTCAGAGCAGAGATCAAATCAGACCCAAGTAAGAGGAAAACACACATAGCTTCTAGGTGAAAGGAACTGACCAACAGGAACTTATTTAGAAAATAATTGAGGCAATCTCTATCAACTATCTTATTTTTTATCATTTCATTACATATTTTACATCCAGAATCTTGTCTTTCAGCTATTTTTCATTTATATATCTAACAATAGGAACCTCCTATATTTTTGTGTTCTTTCACAGTTTACTGGCACTAGGCACTTGGTATGATGATGATGAAAGTGTGATGTGTGTATTTCAATATGATGTATTGTTATGGCTGTCACTTTTAACTGTTGTATGAAATTTAGGGTGAGTTGAGATGATCTGGTCCTCTGGTGGGATTATGGAGGGAACAACTGGCAGGCAGATGACTCCTTATATATAGACAAAAGTGAGGTATTTTAGCTCCAGGGTAAAGAAATGCTTTGAGGAATTTTAGCTGGCCTGAAAGTACTAATGAGGGAATTTCCCTGGTCTAGTGGATACAGGTGAGCAATATTAGCTAGTTAGAGCACAGCCTTGATCAGGGATTTTGGCTAGCCTACAAGTTCCTACTACCAAAGGAATGTATGTGTACCTACAAAGGAATTATCCTTTGACAGGTTGAAATCTGTGTAACTTTTAAGATTTAAACTATGAGAGATATGGGGGTTGTTGAACAGGGGTTAGTTTGCCTTATAAATCCATTTGTGATTCTATTTTTACCATATATTGAATGTATAGAGATGATAAGAAATTTCTATATTTTTCTGTGTAGAAACGCAGGAATAACTGCCACCCACAAAGGAATCCCTTCCGGTCAGGGAGGTAGCTGTACCTCACTGACCAAAAGGGTCCCCTCTTGGCTGAAGAGGTACAACAACCTCCTCAACCAGAATGAATCCCTTCCAGTCAATGAGGTTGTTGCACCTCATTGACCTTCTGGTCAGATGGAAGAATTTCCAGGTCTGCCCCAAAGCACTGGGGCTGGTTGCTATTTATTTTTTTCTGAATCAATGATGGCACTATTGCCCAGCATTACCTACCTATCCCAACCACAAATGCTGTGCTGTGCTGTGTTGGGATTGGTTTTTGTTTTTAGGTCTTTGATGGCCCATTGCAATCATTCTTTTTCTGTCTTTGTTTTCTTTTCCAATGAATCCCATGTCATGTGAATATGAAAGAAAAAAAATCATGCATGCCAAAACAAGGGAAAATCTCTGTAAACACTGAACCCCAACTCCAGGCCAGCCCCAGAATTCCAAGGTTTGGGACCATCCCTTAGGCTTACCCAACCCCCCCATCGGTGAGGGATGGTTTAGAAAGCCAACTCCCAAATTAGTCAACAACTCCCAACAAATATCCATCAATGGGGATTGGAAGTCATTGACTAATATTTGGGAGTTGTTTTTTGTAACTCCCTTGTAAAACAGTGCACTATTATCCAGAGTAGGGTTGTCATTCTCACAGAATTTGACTTGCCCTCTCCCTCTCTATTTAGTCTTCAAAAACCAGCATTTTGGACCCTAGACTGTATGCCAGTGTTGGAATATTGCTTATGAGATGGATGTGATGGCTGACAAGGTCTTGCTCTTCCACTGTATGTACAGTCTCCTCCCAGATGTTTATAGCCATCTGTTTTGAGCTCCACAGAGGGAACCCAAAAACTTCAAGTCACACAAGTTTGTGGAATGGTGGAAAATGGGTTTCAAAGAATGAATATGAAAAAATAATAATCAAAAATAAGATTTTAAAATTTGTGAAAAAGATAAAAGAAAATCAACTTTTTTTTAAACTTTAATTTTTTGTTTGAGTGAAAAGTGAACACACAGAGGGCAAGTTTGGAACATGAAAAGAATGATTATAAATGAAAAATATTGATCCAAAAAAAGTTTCAGCATGGTGGGTGGACACCCTGCAGTCAAAATCAGTAGATTGCAGTACCAGAATGCCACATTTCTTGATGAATGACCCCCTAGGCACCCTTTTTAAACCACCAAGTAGTCATTTTTTTCCAAATTTTCACTTTTTATCATTCATTCCAGATCTCATACTATCACTTTGGACATTTCATCTTTTCCTGAAAGAAAAATTGAGGCTGTCAGTTTTTGTGATTTTCTCCTTTTTACTTTTTACAAATTTTAAAATCTTATTTTTTGTTATTATTTTTTCATATTCATTCTTTGAGACCCGTTTTCCACCATTCCACAAATTCTTGTGACTTGAAATGTTTGGGTTCCCGGTGTGGAGCTCAAAACAGATGGCTATAAACATCTGGGAGGAGACTGTACATCCAAGCTCTCAAAATTATCTCATCATCCTGGGATCAGTCCCCCTTCTTTTTGGTTTGATGTTGTTATACCAAATGAGAAAAAAGATGATATGAATACAAGGGAGGAGGAGGGGGCGGAAGAAGGATGAAGAGAAAGAGAAAGAGATGAGATACAAAACTAGAATAAACAGGGGGGAAAGAAATTAATTAAGTAAGAGAGAGAGATGCAGTTTGTTCTTCTATTTTATTGGTTTTCTCGTCAGTCTTATCGGTAGGGGGATCTATTACGGTTTGTGAGTCATTAGAGTCATGAAGGTGATGGTGATCGTTAGTGTTCTCGGGCTGCTCCTCCTGCTGGTGCTGATCATGATGATCCTCCTCCCGCTCGTCATCCAAAGATTGTTGTTGGTCTTGATGGGCCTCAGCCTGGGCTTCATCACCGCCCTCGTCGATCTCGTCGAGCTGTTGATGTTCATCGTCGTGCTGTCCCTCCTCCTCTACCGCCCGCGGGATCACTAATAGGTCCTCCGCAATCAGCCCAAACTCGTCCGTTAATGCCAGGAATCGTGCATACAAACTGGTCTCCATCTGATCGGTTCAGCCCAGGAGAAGTGTACCAAATCAGCATGCAAAACTAAAACGCACTTGAAGAAACACAAGCTCATTCAAAAGCAAAAGAACAGAAAAGTCAAGAGCTTCCGTACTTCACATTCCTCGAACAGTTCCCGATGGTGAAACCAAGCATGAGCCAAGATCCGATACAGCCTCCTGGCGATCGAAGTGAAATGCTTGATCGAGCTAGCCGGGATCTGCAATCTACATAAGAGATGATGATAAGGTGGTTGAGCGTATTGAATACTGAACAGCTCAAAGGCCCGCGAGAAGCACATGGCAATCGTTTTCGAGACTTACCGGCTCGGGAAGTAGCGGGCTGAGTTCAGGAGGGCTGTCGCACCATCGAGCGTGTGTACTATGTAATCGATCGCACAGCATTCGTTCTTCGGATCAAATAAGAGGGAATAAGGGTTAGTTTCAGTTACTTGGGTGGGGGTAAGATGTATGGAAAGATTCGAGGTGCGTACCTCGTTGGCGGTCGCATGGGCCGCACAGAGGTAGAGCCATTCCCCGGCCTTCATCTCTGGACACTTGGCGCGGTTGCAGTCAGCCTGGAGTGCGCTAACGAGTGGGTGTCCCAGGTCGTGGGCGAGTCTACGGAGCTGCTCGTAGATCCATACTTCACGCTGGACGTGCGGGCTGGGTAGTTTGATGATCCTAGCCACCGCATGCGGGTCGGCGCGGACGAGGTGAGCAATGTACTCCTGGAGCTGGAAGGGTGACTCGAGGCTGGCCAGGAGCGAGCTCGGGTCGGGGTCCTTGTCCCCCAGTGAGGCAAACATGCTCGGATAGGCATCCTCGAACCGGGTCCCCTTCCTCAGTCTGACGGGCGGGGGGTAGTGTTGCTGATGGGATGGTGAGGGACTGCTGTTGTTACTATTGTGGCCATCGCCTGTTGCTGCTATTGGATCTGAGTCGGACCTTGTTAGTTCCTGTGGGTTATTAGCTGATGGTGATGAGCCTGTGCTTGTGCTTGTGCTTGTGCTGGCAGATGGTGATGGTTGCTGGTTTGATGATGAGTTGGCTGGTGGATGATAGTTAGTTGTTGCTGTTTGATGGTGTGGTGAGCTGAGGAAGACTGGCTCGAGGTTGTTGGTGGTCATCCTGCTGGTTTGTTGAGAGTGGTGTGCTGGTTGGGTGAGCTGTGTAATGTTTGGCTGTGATTGGCTGGTGCTCACTTTGTAGTCGCCTTTCCCCCCGGGGGGCGAGACAACCCCACAAGTTCAGCTCAAGGCACAAATCCTGCCAAAGAACAAACATCATCATCATCATCATCATCACAAAAACGGCTGACAGACCAGAGGCAGAAAGATGGGGCACTTGGTGGCACTCATGATCAAGCATATCCTTAGTATCACAGAGTAACTTCAGGCAAAGAAGTGATGCGGAGCTCTATGAAATATAGAAAAATGGCTAAGTTTTTTTTACATTAACTGTCAACCAAAAGAAACAAAAGGACACAGAACAAAGGCTTAAATGGTGCAGATGTTGCGGTGTATGTGCTTGCGATATTTTTGCACAAGGGTTTTTGCTCAAATGAGTTTAATGATCGATCAAGTCATGATCAGGATCAACCAGAATCATGCAGAATTTTGACAGAGTGCAATCAGGTTGAAGTTCACATTATCCTGAGACAGTTGAATGAACTGTTTGACCACCGGTACCACAGCCTACGTAGACAATCACAACTAAATAACAATCTGCGATCATAGAGAGATAAGCAGATAATCGAAGAAGTGGGACTGACTTCGAGTAGATCCTGTGACGGAGCGATCGGACCATGGTCGATCGGAAACGCCTTCCGGCCATCTAACTCAACCAATCGGGCGGGCTCTGCTTCTGGTCGGTCTGGCTGTGCGATCTTCTTGACAAAACAGACAAAGTGCAAGTTGACCTCTTCATCTGAACTAGGAACCTGTGATCTCGAAAAAATTATTTGAGTCAGCTTCCATGTATAAAACGCAAAGTAGGGAAAAGAAGGGAGGTGAACCTTAGATTGTCCGCTCTGTGCCTGATCAGCATGTACATCAGCAATCGCACAATCATCCTCCAATAGCTGTGCACGCTCAGAGGGGCTCTTAGCCCGACACTGTTCCAAGAACTTGGTCAATGGTCCCTCAGCTGACGACCGATCAGCAAGATCATTCAACCAACCCCCGACAAATGCGTTTGGTTATTATGGGATTCCTTCAGTAGGTCAGAGATCGGAACAGATTAGGGATACTGACTGATCGGGATCTCGGAATTGTTGGCTAACGCGTGGAGAAGGCCGATCGTGCCACATGCATTGCTGATTGTCTGTCTTCACATCCACCCCAGCGAGATAAGTAAAGATCCGCACGAACAAGGGTCGGACTGAATGAGAAACCAACTTGATAAAGATAAGTCGTTCGTCGGACTTGAGCGCTCCACCGGCCTGATCTACTATCCGTGCATGTTCGGCCGCCCGTGCCGCCTCGTACTCCTTCGAGATCGGGAAAAGCATTAGAACCGCATAGACCGGCTTGGGGACCATCGCCAGTAGTTCCGCGTCGAGTCCGTAGACGTCCGTGAAGCTCACTTGGTCGGTCGACAGGCCTAGAGCTGCATCGATTTAAGAAAAGGTTTAAAGTTTCAGAGCTCTCGTGATGGAATCTTATTGCGTGGGATTGAGGTAGAAAGAAAAAGATCGACGACTGACCTGATGACCAGGCATTCATCACCTCCGGATTGGATTCTAACGGGAGCCAACGCATCTTGTGTGTGTAATCAGTTATCCAGTATCAGAGTATCGGTCGCTCTTTCGTCCAAGTATCTGTTTATGTATCAACCTTCCTCGATCGGCTCGCGTGTATGCAGTGACGATCTTGGCTTGGCAAGTGAAGCGGGTGTTCTGATGGAAAGTGAGACTCAGAGACGAAAAGATGATGATCATATTGCATGTAGATGAACAACTAGTAGTTTATATACATGCTTTCTAGGGGGTCTAGGTGAGACCTCCGGGTAACCCCCTCTGGGTTACAACACTCCCCCCTCACCTAGACACCATCCATGAGTCTCCCCCGAAAGAATTCGAAGGGTTCTTTGGATAGCGCCTTAGTGAGGATGTCTGCAATCTGCTCCTTGGTGGGAACCCACACCAGTTCCGTCTTTTTCTCATGAAGTGCCTGATTAGTTAGATAAAACTCCCTCTCTACATGCCTCACGCGCTTGTTAGCTGAGTCATCAGTGCTTACTCTGATCGCCGCTTGATTATCACAATGTAATAGACCTGTGAAGCTCTTCTTGAGGATGTCGGTGAGCAAGTGACGTACCCAAAGTACCTGTCGAGTGCCTACTCCTAGTGCCATGTATTCCGCCTGGCACGTGGAAGAAGCTATAGTTGCAAATCTCCTCGATGTCCAAAGGACTGGGCATCCGAAGAAAGTGACTACTATTCCGTAGGTTGACTTTGCAAACTCACCGCCCCAAGACGCGTCGCAGTAACACTTGAGAGGTTTCGGTAAATCATTAGGGAAAAGGTTCAAATACAAGTGTGAGCTGTCAGCCAGGTAACCAATTAAATGCCTTACTCCCTTCCAGTGATTCGTTCCTGGTTGCGCAGAGAATCTGGCCAGAAGGTTGACCGCAAACGCTATGTCTGGCCTGCTTCCCACTGCTAAATAGCTTAGGGAACCGATGATGGAAAGATAAGCCGTGGATTTCGATTTGTCTCCTGTAGGGTCTGTGATCAGTTCGAACGAAGTAGGAAGGGGTGTTTTGTGAGTAGTATTGCCGTCCCAATGTTGATCTAGGATCTGTCTAATGAGCTTGGGTTGTCGGATACTAAAACCTTGTTCGGAGCGCTTGACCTCCAAACCTACAATTGAGTCTAGCCCTTCTGACCATTTGATCTTGAGGAGGCCTTTGAGTCCATCTTCAAGGGACCTCAGTAGTTTACTGGACGAACCCGTGACAATCCCGTCGTCGACATGAATCCACACGACACCCTGGTGATCGCCGTGCTTAACGGTGTATAGGCTATTGTCATATTGACTGGCCTCGAAGCCAAGTTGACTCAGGACTGCTTTGAGGTGGATCCACCAGCAGCGCGCAGCCTGTTTCGTTCCATACAGGGCTTTGTGCAGTCGCATCGCTTCACCCTTGTTGACTGACATGCCCTCCGGGGCCTCTACCCACACTTCCTCGTCGATCGGGGCGTTCAAGTAAGCGGCTACAAAATCAAATGAGTAAACTGGCCAGTTAAACTTGGCGGCCATTGTTAGTATGAGCCGCATGGACACAAACGTGGCCGTTGGCGCGAAGGTAGCCTCGTAGTCTACGCCGATGACTTGGGTGAACCCCTTCGCCACGTACCGTGCTTTGTAGCGTACTATTTCCCCTCGATCGTTTGACTTCTCTGCAAAAACCCACCTGCCCTTTAGGGGCGTTCTTCCCGGGGGTACTTTTCCCACCGACCAGACTTTCATGCCTGCGAGATTCTCCAGCTCTTCCACTATTGCAGCCTTCCAGTTTGCCCATGAGACTGACTTTTCGGCCTGCTTGAACGTCTTTGGGACCGTTGTTGCGAAGAAAGCGCAATCCAGTAGAATCCTGTCAATAATCAGTTCTTGGTTCTCGAAGGTTAAGTTGTCAGCGAAATTGTTCAGCTCCATTTGGTTGACAATGTAGGAAACATCATGTTTGGGTGAGCTATCAACCCGAGGGACCGTTGTCATTGCAGTCGTCTTTTGGTTGTCTGTAGTCATACCTTTCCCGGCCGGCTGTTTTTCCTTGGGTGTGCCAATGAATACGGGACGTTTCTCCGGCCAGTCAACTACCGCCGCGGCCACCAGCTGGTTGGTTTCCTTGAGTAAGAAAATCCATCCTTTGCTGTCATCACAGTGTGCCACCACGCGGCCCTCGAGACCCCGATCATCGAGCTTTTTCCTTTTTTCCTCTGGGACGTGGACGAAAGCCTTCTCCCCAAAGATCTTTGACCTGTCTAGAGATGGCTTAAAACCATAGAATGCCTCGAAAGGTGTTAGCATGCCACTCCGCTTGTTAGGGATTACATTCAAGGTATCACAGGCCCAAATGAAAGCAAACCCCCAGAACGGCTTGCCCATGCCACTGTCTATGAGTATAGTCCTGCCCATATCTGCCAGTGTTCGGTTGAATCTCTCTATGATACCATTCTGATAATGATGGTACGGGAGAGACCGTTCCGCCTTGATCCCTTGGTGGAGGAGGAATTGCGTGAGCACATCACTTGAAAACTCGCCGCCGTTGTCGGTCCGCACGCACTTGATTTTCTTTGAGAGTTGCCGCTCCCACCTCAGAATCGTTTCAATGAGTAGTCCACATGCCTGGGATTTTTCCGCCATGATTTTTGCTTCGCTGAACCCTGTCGCTAGATCCCTGATAGTCAAAAGATACTTCCCTTTATTGAAGGTTTCAGCTTCAAATGGTCCTACAATGTCAGCTGTTACGACCTCAAGTTTCTCAATCGGTCTGTCAGACGATGTTAGCTTATTGCGGTTAATACTTTTGCTCCGCGCACATATGTCACACTTTAGCTCCCCCTTTGGTAGTGAAATTGGTATGTTCTTACACAGTTTCTCTTGGACCACCTGTCTGATCTTGTTCAGGCTCGCGTGACCGAAAAACCTGTGCCAGTAGAGTAAGATCTGCTCATTTTTGTCTAAACTGTTAGTGGTCAAGGTCTTTGTAGTCTCATCAACACCAAGGGGGGTAGTGAAAGCATTCCTTCGGAGGTCAACTCTAAGCTCAGTCGATATCGGACAGAAATTTGGCTTAACGCCGCTGATTGGATTGCATGATTCATAGAGTTTATCTGGACAAGACTTGGAGGCAGTAGGCCGGGAGACAGAAGAAGAAATGAGAGGGCGAGGAAAAATCCACCGGTTTTGTTGGGGTACAAACGGGCATTTGAAACACAGGACATTGTTGCTAGAGTATATGAGATAGCAGTCCTGTGCAACATCATACGCAAAATACGCGTTAGCTTTGCGCAGAGCAGCAAGTGAGATGAGAGTAGACCGGGCGATCTCACAATATAAGACCCCATGAATGGTGACCATTTGGTTGTCCACACCAGAGAACGTTAGGTCTCCTTCGCCCGTGATAAAGGCCTGGTTGCCGGAGGTAGCGACTTTCAATGGGATAGGGGAAGGAAATCGACGGAAATTAGAAAGAAGCTTAAAATCTCCACACAGGTGGTGGGACGCACCTGAATCAACAATTGGAACATTTTCCGATACCTCTGCCTGAACATGGCCGAAGTGAACGTTGGCAAGATCTTCGGCCACGTCACCAAGTTCGACCATTCGGGCGATGGATTCCTCTTGTGTGTCGGGCTCAGCAACGGCTTCATTGGCCGAGGGTTTCGGCCTTTGCGATCCGATGGACTCCGACCGCCCATTGACTCGTTGAAGTCGGTATTGCGGTGGACGGTAGTAGTCGGCTGGCCGTTGTTGATTGGCGGTTGGCGGTTGTTGAGCGTTGTTGGGTGGACTTTGCGCTTGTCGATTTGGTTGGTGGGTTTGAGGGTAGACTGCTCCAAAACCGGGGGGTGTGACGATTGGATAGAATGACTGAAAACCGGGACCATGTCGCGTTTGAGGGCTTTGTTGTTGAGGTTGGCCCCTGAATCGGTTTCTGGACGACATGGGGCGTGCACGGAACGGGCAGTCGCGGAGAAAATGTTCGTGTGATCGACATTGCCAGCACAACCCGGCCTGCATGGCCATAAAGTCATGGGCATCCGGTTGGTTGTCTGGGTGAACTGGGAACTGGGGCAGGTCAGCCTGGGCGTCGGAGGGCGGTTGCACAGGTTGTTGGGCTTCTGCTTGCATGACTAGGGGTGTGGAGCGGTGGTTGTCCCGGTTGTTGGACTGAAATTGGTGTTGACGCCTTATGATGTCAATCAACCGAACCATCGACTCAAAACTCATGGCCGGGCGTTCAGGTGTTGCCGTTTGGAAATCAATCTCAATCTGTCGATTGAACTCTTCTTGGAGGGCGGGTTCGGAGTGGAGTCCATTTTGCAGTACGAGTCCGGCCAAGTATTCGCGGGTGAAAAGCATCCTGGCGTCGGTCATTTCATCGAGAATGTCGGCGATGTGGGTCGACATTTGTGCAGTTGTAGAGTGGTCCGCGATGTTGAAAGAGATGAGTCTCCTGAACAGGTTTAGTTGGGCCGCCCGACTAATCGAATGAAATCTGGCGAATAGGTCGTTCCACATCGCATGTGCACTCGGAAGTCTAGACACTCCACGGCGAAGGGATCGGTGTACTGTGTTGACCAGGAGTGCTCGGCCGACTCGTTCATGTAACAGGTTCCGAGCCGGTTTGTTGAAGAAAGAGACCGCTCCAGTGGCGCCGCGCATGCGTTCCTCAAGGAAGTCCTCCCAGGCAGAGAAGTTGGCACCATCCGGTGCGAGCAAGTCCGCGTCATCGATGTGGCTACTGGCCGACGAGATCAGACTTGCAGCTAGACGATCAATTTCTACCTGCTGCAGCCTGGCGGTTCGCTCTTCCGGATTAGGAGTGCGGCGGTTGCTTCTCCCTTCCGTGGCCGTCCCCTCATCGGTCGGGTCAGTGACATGTGGTGGGTGGTCCCGCTCTTGATGGTCGGCTACTTGGCGGGTCTGCTCATTTGCGGTGGTGTTGGGGGTTGAGGTGATCGGAAGGTTTCCTCGGGGGTTGTTGGAGATAATGCTCGGGTCTGACATGGTGAGATGCGGGTGGTGGTGAAAAGGAGATAAAGGGAAGGGAAGATGGTGGAAAGACAGGGGAAAGAAGGAGAAAAGTAAATGGAGTCGGAACAAGAAAAGAAGGAAAAGGAAGATTGGTGGTGTGAGGGGTAAAGGGAGACGGAGCGAGGGGAATTGTAAGAAAAAAGGACAGAAAGGAAAAAAACTTCGGAAAAGGGTTTTTTTTTTTTTTTTTTTTTTTTTTTGTGAGAGGGAAAGCGGGTAACTAAAGGAGTAAGTGGGGGTGGGATATGTAAATCAGGGTTGTTGGTGTCGATATTTGCGGAAGGTTGAGTTTGAAGGAGTTGATCCGGTCGGAGACAATGAACAAAACTTTGATCTTACGCCTATTCAGCCCCTTAACCCAGCGTCCTGGGTAAGGATAAACCGCAGATAGCTAGTCTTTGGTCGCTTAATCAGCAGTATAGTTCTCGGTTAGGTTCGGAAGTCTGATATAGATTGGAAGGGCTTAGAATCGATTGATAAGGACAATAGAGAAAGAACAAGTTCAGAGAGAGAGTCAGGTCGATTACGCCCTACGCTGGGCTACCTATATGTTTTGGATTATTCAGATAGAAAAAGGTTGATTTCGAGTAAAGAAAGCTTGGATTTCAGCGAGAGTCTTTAAGGTGCTCATAACCTGATGGAAAGTGAGACTCAGAGACGAAAAGATGATGATCATATTGCATGTAGATGAACAACTAGTAGTTTATATACATGCTTTCTAGGGGGTCTAGGTGAGACCTCCGGGTAACCCCCTCTGGGTTACAACAGTTCCCTACCACGGTCTTCTGCGTTCCCCGAACACTCCGCTGCGAGCCCCCCTAATCCTACATTCTACAATGTAACCCAAAAAGTTTCTCATCATTTCCCACAATTTATGTATCACTTTCTTCAAACCCTCCAACAAAATGGGTTTGCTGAAAGCCACTTGTGATTTGGCCAACAAGCTATACATCATGCAAAAACACCCTTGTATCAAAGGTTCTTGAGGAAAGTTGATTAAAATAAAATACTCAACATAAGATGAAAAGGGATTTATGGCTATAACAGTTCAGATTATGTACTTTAATTTCTAATAATTCGACGCAAAGAGACATAAAGGGTATTTATTGAGATAATTGATCTACAATTTCTATTTAGACATCAAAATGTTTGATGTAGCTTTGTGATTCAAGTGCTTAAAAAAGGATAAAGAAGGACATTATCTCGATTTCACCTGCTTACCCGCTGTGACATAGAGATTGACTAATCCCGTTTTGGAACGCAAGGTAACATCTTCCATTTCTTCAGGATCGAGATGTTTTTCCCAAACAAAAAGCTTAGTTTTTCGATCATACAAGGTATAAGTAACTGAGTGAGTTGGCGAGTTGTTCTGCAGAGTGATGATTTTGGGCCCGTCGCACCTCTTGTTGTTGCTGTTGATCACCACATGAAAATCGATATGTTTATCGACTTTCGATGCCCATACTCCCCGCTCATTGGTATTTGCGAAAGCTCTGTAAACGTCATGTCTAGGTTTCTTGCCCCTGAGGATTACGTTCTCCATCTCTGGGAGATGTTCCCAGACCTGCTGAGTTTCCGAGGGGATTGAAGGGCCAGCCGGATCGTCATCTTCCGGGCTTTGGGCGGAATTCTGGAGTATCTGATCATGAGCTTCGGCTGATGGTTGGCTCCGTATAGGCCTGTCCCAGGAAGTAGTACCAACGGAGTAATCATAGCCCTGGCCTGAATAAGGATAATCCTGTCTCAAAAAGCCGTAGCCAGGACTCGAATGATTGTATTCGACATGTCTGCTTGATGAGTCGACCACTCTCTCGAGTTCACCAGACCGAAAAGGATTTTGTTCACGAATCGGCATTGCATTTGAATGAAGATGACCGTTCCTGCCGCGGTCATAATCGTGATTAGAATAATATTGGCCATCATGACTCCAATGACTATGTTCATGGCTTGTCCCAGGGCTCGTCCGACCGACTGATGGTTCAACGACTTCCCCGAGTTCTCCCCAATTGAATACGTTTCGGTCACGCATAGGCACACTGACGTTGTTTGAAACCAGAAAGGTTAACAAGATGGAAATCAAACGAAGGGTAAGACATCTCATCTTGGGGTTTACTTGGAATTTTTCTGGGGTTTACTTGGAATTTTTCGAGGTGACGAGTGGAATAAGACTGTGTATAGTCGGATGAAAAAATCAATAAATATGAAAATTGAATATGTGATTAAGTCAGTGACCAAGTTAATCACTGTTATCCGGGGAAGATACTCAAGGAAGTTTGCTGGATGGATTACCAAATGTGACGTTGCGGGGTACATACCTGCGTAGATCCAACACCGAAAAAAAAAAAAACCGATTCAAGATTTCGAATCACCAAATTCTCGAGTTTGTTGCAGTAGATGAACCGGGAACACGATGGAAAGACGTCAAGGAATTGTATCTATCTGGGGTTGGAATGGTGGAATGGATGCTTCCCCTAGTCAAGAATGGAGCAATTGCCTTACAATGAAGTGGATATCTACTATTATTAATTAGCTATTAGTATGGGCAGATAGATAGATATTTCCCCTAGGATACTAGGACCCGATGACAGAGAAGGTGATATCAATTGCCTCAAATGCCAATCGGCAGCCCTACCTTTATAGAAAATTATGTCCGCGTCCCGCATTATATGTGTCAAAACATTTCACTCATATTGGAATCATGAGATTCGTATAAGGGAAGGTATTGCCACTAATTCTTGATCGAATTGTCTGCTGACCACAAGCTAAATTAAAATACTATTATGACTGGCAACGGGATGGTATAATTGGTAAGTGAGACAGGTTTGAAGGCTTCTTCAGAAATCATGAACAGGTCTAAACATTTTCGATGTGAATAGCGTCATCTTTTCGGAGGATCTAACGCATTGTTGACTTGCTCGAATAACCCGGAGGCTAAGCAGGTTTTGATAGCTGTAGGACGCAAGAAGCCTCCAATAGGCCAGCAAGTCTAATAAAATGGTTTTGGATGCCTACTTGTTTCAAATGTTCAACTTGTTAGCATTGAAAAGGAGGGCTCACAATAATAATAATAATCTACCCTGGATAAATTGCAATGTACTTCCTCCACTCATGATCTGGGAATGTGCCAAACAGTTCTATAACTAAACCACTCTTGCACATCAGAAGCTCCTGCCTTTTTTGAGCAAAGTTCCATTTTTCTTGGAATCTTGCAGAGTGTGATCTGCAGAATATTTTGCTAGAATCACGTTGGAAATGAGCTTCAATTGGAAGGGTGTATAACTCTCTACATGGTTGTGTGCTGTGCCCAGCACTAAGCGAGCTCACAAAGCCACGCCTGGGGGTTTTCAAACTAACTTGGAGAATCTAAGTACTTCATGAACACAAATCCCTTCATGTTTACACTTTTTGATTGGATAATTGGTAAAATCACTGATATACCGTTACCTCTTCCAGCAATGGTTCTGGACAGTAGTATTTTGGAACACTTTCTCAAGAAGGAAATGTTGCATGCATTTTAACGATTTTTTTATAAAGCACTAATCACTTTGAGATCCAGAGTATTAGATTGAAAATCTTGAGGATTGTGGGGAATGGAAAGCTGATCTATATGTAGTTGGTGATGTCTAAAGTAAAATTAATTTGATTTGAAGTACTGGAAAATTTGAATCAACTTTTTCGTCGATATGGGTCCACCCGCTTTTGCTCTCCCCCTTTCGCATAAAGCAGCCCCTCTCCTAGCATGGGATGTAAAACAACACTTTCCTCGCAAAGGGGATTGAGGGTTCTTTCCCAAACATAGAGGCCAGCTACTGGGTCATGTAAGGTATAATAGACTGAATGTGTTTTGGATCGGTTTGAAATAACGATGGACTCTGGCTTAGACGCCTTGTTGATACCCAGGTAAAGCTTGATGTGTTTTTTGTCATTGTACACCCGCGCCCCCTTTTGATTCGTGAATGATCTGTAAACATCGTGAATGGTATTGCAGAAGGCGGTATTCATGATTGCAGTTTCTGGTTGTGGAGCCCAGAGGTTGGGGATTTCTGATTTTGTCAACGCGCTCGTACTCTGGTCGTGGCTTCTTTCAGCGCGTACCAGCAGGTCCGAAAAGACGGGAGGATTACGACCGTTTGTCCTTTTCCCAACTTTTCTCCCCTTGGACGGAGATGGTGGTAGGGAGCCGAGGAGGTGAGAGGAAGATACAAAAGATTCATCTTTGCTTTCCGCCCGGTTGGTCTGATACAAGTGTGTCGATGTGGGGGAGCCAGCGAAAGGGAAGAGGGAGGAGTCCGCATTGATCGTAATGGAAGAATCAGGATGTCCCCATTCTCCTCCTTCGAGCCGGTGTAGTTCTATGGGACCGAGGGGGCGAAAGGGGAACAGGGGTCGGCGTAGGTCAGCTTGGTTATTGCAGGCGAAATTAGGGGTCGTAATGGCGAGTTGCTGATCAGGATGCGACGAGCGTGAGGATCCAGCACCGGAAAGTGACGCGCTAAAATCTGAATCTGACCGGCGATTTGTGACGAGTCCATCGGACACAGAAATCCCGGACGTGAGTTGCGCCGGGGCTTGCCGCAAAGATGGTTTGATCTGGCCGCCTTCAACCACTTGTCCCAGCTCACTCCACATCAGATTGTCGGGTTCCCACAAAGGCTTTCCAGAAGTAAACGAAATGAAGAACATGAATAGGTGATTGAGCAGAATAGAGTAGTTTATAGTCATCTTGGAGTGGTTTTGGAATCAGACTATAGGAGGAAATGAGTCGCGCAATAGTGATCTCAAGGAAAACATTTGACGAATGTTATGAGTTGGGTCGCCCAGACTCTGGGATATAGGTCGCCGGGCCGAAGACTCCCGAAAATCAATACGAAACAGCGCTCATTATTTTTGTCAGCTTTGGCGTGTGTTGGGTGAGCATTACGCGTTTTTAAGGGAGGTTATCCAGTATTTCGTTTGGAAATCAAGCATGCACCTTGAACGTCGGCAGTTTCCCACCAAGTATAGGTGTGCAAATATGTATATATTCTTCACACTGCCAGGAACCCGTGCTAGCGGAGATGATTGATGATATCTGCCTGCAGGACCCGGCAGGCTTATGATAGCAAAACAGAGATTACTTGTTTCACTTCAATAAGCAATTTTATACAAAATTCTCAAGATGACTTGTCACAAATCGCTGCGACGGCAGCTCGTTGAGCAAATGTGCCTCATCGGCTACCAGCCCCCAGAAGAATTCTTTCAACATGACAATGTATGTGACGGCAATTTTCGAAACCGTTAACCTGGATCCTCCTGAACCCCCGTACATACATACCCATGGCATTCATACCATACATGTCTCCAGATTTAACCATAGGGCGGCTGTTTCAGGCTTCGCGCACTAGAAGTCACATTTATCAATTAGCTGGTGTCGCGATGTCCCAAGGTGCCTCAGCAGGTGAGTCCGCTTGCCTTATGCTTAGCGGATAATTCAATGCCATGAGATTCTCCACAGGTGATGCTTTGAATCAACCTATTGCCACTTAAACGTTGGAACAGATATTATAAGGAGACTTTGTATTCCAGTTGGACTAGCAATTTCCCTTCTTATAAAACAAGTAGTGGGATAAGAAGAAGAAAGAGCGGTGGTCGAGGGTGAGATCGTTAGGATTTAGAAAATCTACCTATATACACATGAAAGATAAAACAGATTGATGGGTACTTTGTGGTATATTTGTTGGATCGAGAGAACCCTTCAAGAGGAAGATCTCTCTCATTCCCCATGAGTACTTCCAGTATCAATCCGAGCCTTGCGCAAGTTGTTTGTTCTCAGGATCCCTGACTCTCCAAGAGGCGGGTACGCTTATTCCAGCATCGCGAAAGGGACTTCGTGTCTAAGGTTGGCCGGCGAGTCTTAGATATGATGTTCGCCGGGTCGATCATCTGGCGACCCGCATCCACATAGAAGAATACCGTTCCCTCCGGCGAATAGAAATCAAACGTTTCCTTGCAGTTAGGATCGAGGCTTCTCTCCCAAACAAAATGATCTGATCTTAAATCGTGTAAGGTGTAAGTGACTGAATGAGTCGGAGAAGCGTTGTGGAGAGTGAAAGATCTCTTCACATTGTGAGCCTGATCGAACGGCTTCTTGATCAAATGAAGGTCTATATTTTTCGCCTCATCCAGCGCCCATACTCCCGTTCTGGACTGAATTTCGAATGCCTTCTTGATATCGTATTTTTGATTTTTTAAGTGCTTGGGGACTTGATCGGGTTTGCGTTTGCCCCAGTATGCTAAAGAGCCGGCCACACTTTGGAGAGAATTCGCGACTCCGCGACCTTCATCTGAACGCTGGCCCCCAATGGCCCCATTGTGGAAGGTACCGGTCGAGTGATCACCGCCCTGCGCCGAATACAAACAGTCGCGGTTTAAATAATCATAGTCATGGTCTGAATAATCCCAGTTGTAACTCGTTTGAGGAAATCTCCGGCCGCTTGGTTCGGCAAGATTCTCGAGCTCGTCCCAATTTATAGGGTCCCATTCGTCCATGGGCCAACCAATGCTTTGGGAAACAAGACACGACAACCAGACTGGAAACAGAACGAAAGGATCTTTTCTCATCTTGGTGAACCTTATGCCGAAAATGGCGTCGGAATCAAAGTATGTCATGGAGATATCAATAAACAGGTACATAAATTGAGTGTAAAAATTCCGGCAAGATACCTGACGAATTGTGTGAGATAGATGCGAATATTATTATGAATGCGTGTGTCGAGTTTTCTGAGTCATGCAAGCAGAAGACAAAGCTATCAGCTGCTTTTACATTTCTTGGTATAAAGTAGGCACCACGCCTTTGCGGTTACGCCGGTCAACAATGGCACTCTTACCAAGTAGAATTTATTATCCTAAGTGCGGATGTTGTTCTTTCTCCCAGAGGGCGCGCTAGCAGCGAGAAGAGTTGGCGACTGCTGCCACTGAGAATCAGTTGCCTTATGTATGTGAAAGATGTGGTGGATTTCTGCTTCCTCTTTTGACTCCCTTGTCTCGACAGTTATGTTGCACAAGCAATCGGTAGAAACACCCGGAATTCTGATCATCACGGATCAGCTCCAGGATGCATGTCTGTAACCATCTAATGCTACATGCTATCCAAATTTGAGGAGCTAAAAGCCTCATTGCCGACTATGTAGTTCCGGGTTCCCGGCAAGGTTGTATGTTGGCATCCCGAAAATGACCCCAAAATCCAATCTGTTTCAATTCTTTCAACACGAAAGTGTTTGCGATTTGGGTCTTTGAAACCACACTCCTGTGCCGATGGCCTCTCTGTTCGGGTAATTCATCTCATGATGATGAAGGCCCGGGAGTGTCACGGTGATCGTCAAAGACTCACATCAGTTTTGAGATATGCAATCCCATCAGCTTCATTTGGCCGGCCACCAATGTTGTTGGAGAGACTTGGAACAAGTATCCACTCAGTTCTCGGTTTACCCACTTCGATCCTTGAACGTGTCTGAGCCGAGTTTCACCATGATCAAGTCGCGTAACCTGGTCGAATTCCCGAGACTACCCGTGCTGAGCCTGAGGGAGTCCTGAGGGTTGAGCAATCAGTGTTCGGATTTTGAGAAAATTGACGGCCATACATTGCAAGGGAAGGGGCAAAACGACGACCTTTGGTAGCTCCGGCATAAATTAGTGTTACCCAGGCTGAAGTCAGCCGATTCCTCGTGACTCTTGTTGCAGATTAGGAAGGGGCCAGTGCGACTTGACCAGCAAATTGTAGGCTACGTGATGGATAAAAATTGTTTCGGTGTCCTGCCTCCTAGAGATTGTCAGTTAACATGTACCGTCGGTACACCTCTAACTTATCAAAGTCCCTCTGAAATCGGAGGGGGGATGTGCCGTCCCGCAGGGACCCTCCCGACCAGTGTCTCACCACTCCGTCATGTAGGAGGGAGGGACTTTTTGAAGTCAGGGTACACCTGGTGGCTCTTCAATCGGTTCCCAGGCTCTTCTTCACATTGTTGGTTTCAAGCTTTACCGTTGAAAACTCTGCACGGCGGTTGCTGGGACTTCAATGAGTCCAGCCATAAAGCGTCTGTGAAGGTGTCAAGCCGTTATCACCGTTATGTACATCCTTCCGCCTGTCTCAGCTACAACGCGGAGAAACGCCCCCTGATAATAGCATGAAACGAGGCAAGTTCTTTCAAAATGTTGGGCTCAGAATTGGAGCTGTGCCTTTATAAAGCAGGCGGATTGCTCAGAGGCTCGCAGACCAATTATCGCCTGGGGTAGTAGGCACACGAGGCCATGAGGAAGAGGCATGACATGGCGATTAAGAACCAAGGCGTGGCAGCCGGAATGGTAGGTCCCCAAGGAGGAGGATGAGTGGGAGAGAATGAGCCATAGATTTGATTTGACATGTAGCTATAAGAATCATCATTACAATGCATAGTTGCTGAACCTCGACGGGAACTGGCTGAGAGCACAAACCCAAATCGATCACCCTCAACCCAACCACGTGAAAAGCAGATCTTTAAATGAAACCGATCTGACAAAGATACAACAAGGATTAGAAACAAATGGGGTTGAGATATTGTGAGTGAGAGCGGATGAATGAGCTCTTACCTTGTTAGCAATGTCTAAGGCATCAACTTCAGGGGTCAGACGAACGAAAGCTTTCTTTTTGCCATCGGGACTGTGGATCGTTTGTGAGAAGGTATGGGTGAGTGAACGAAATAATTGATGAGGTCTAATGGTCTGTCTAAATAGTGCTACTCACCGGATGAGGGTGTTGACACGAAGGGGTGTAACGTCATAAAGTTTCTTGACGGCATCGGCAATTTGTCGCTTGTTTGCTAATTTTGGAAAATTGGTTTTCATTCAAAAGAAAGGAAACCAAGAGAAGATCAGAAATCTGTTCTGTTCAAGTGAAGAGAGCGTGAGGAAGCCAGTGAGTATTGCGTGAACTAACCCTTCAAATCAACAATGAATAGAAGAGTGTTGTTGTCTTCGATTTTCTTCATGGCGCTCTCGGTGTTCAAAGGACGGACCAATGTCCGGTAGGCATCCATTCGAGGAGCATGTGGGACCGAAGTTCTGGGGTATTTCGGCTTTCGGGATAGTCGGAGAGTCTTGGGTCTGCGGAAGGTGACCGAAGTGCGAATGCGACGCTGAGTTTTTGAGGAGGTACCCTTGACGACCGCCTTCTTGGCCGATTTGGCCTTGGCCACTTGGGTCTTGGCCGATGAGGCTGAAGATTTCAAAAATGAGTTTGCATTGATTGATTGGGAATCGATCGGTCCGTCAATTCAGGGGAGAGTTGGTTCGCGAGCCGGTCGCCAAAATTTGAAAAGCAAAGCAGCAGTAAGTGATCTTGGCTCGAAGAGGGATTTCCCGGTCAGGAATTGAAAGAGGGAGATGACGCTAACCCTTAGGTTCGGCCTTGGTCGATGATTTTGGCGGCATGTCGAGTCTTGAGTTCCTGTCGAGGTGGTCGTTGGTGGCCGGGAGGGGTGGATTTGTTCGGTCTAGGGCGGCCGGCTGGATCGGCTGGGTGCTGTGGAGTCAGGGTGGCTAGCTGGCTGACCTAACCCTAACTGGTGAGAACCGCTTAGGTTTCAGCACTCCGCCCACCCAGCAGAGCACCCGGGGTGTGCCCCCCGCGCTGGCCGGGCTGCGACCCTTCCACCAGTCGAATTAGGCACCGGTCGACCCAGCAAGCTTCGCCAACCCCCAACACCGACGACGGACCTCAAGACACCACCTCATCAGCAATGGCAAGAGCTCAATCCACCAGAGTAGCAGCGACCCGAACAGGTTTGTCCAGACACCTTCATTTACCGACAAGCAGAAGATCGTCCCTGATATCGGTGTCCTAATTGTTTTCATCATAACCAAAGGTCTCCCTCGAGGTCTCAACTCGGGCCACAAGACCACTCCTCGGGTCCTTCCCAACAAGCCATCTCACTTCAAGGGACGAGCCTCCAAGCGTACTACGGTAGGAACCACTTTCGAATCGTGCACATCTTACTGGCCCCTCCGATCTGAAATTCCTCTTTGATATCATGCTCTTTAGTTTGTTCGTTCCATCGTACGTGAGGTTGCCGGCTTTGCCCCTTACGAACGTCGAGTTATGGAATTGATCCGAAACTCAAAGGACAAGAAAGCCCGAAAGTTGACCAAACGCCGAGTAAGTAGCCCCTCCCCTATCAACTCAAGCGTCATGCTCTCTCCCCTTTCATGGATGCCATTTAGTAAGAGATGTCTCGTTCGTATACTTACTCATCCCACCCTCCTATCTTCTGCTTAGCTCGGTACCCTTCGTCGTGCCAAACGCAAAGTTGATGAGCTGACTGGTGTGATCGCTGAAACCCGAAGAGCTGGTCATTAAGTTGTATATGAGAAATTTGTCTTTTTTTCAACTTAACTACGAAAATCTCTTCACATCTACCTCTCAAGGGATCTTCTCTATGCGATATGCTATTGATCAATCACTCCTATGTCCTGTTGTCAACATTCAAACCCACCTGACCTTGATGAACAGTAGGCCCAGCTATTCAGCAGCTCATTGTGCCCAATTGCATGAATATCCCGAGATTATCACGTTGCGTATCGGGTCTAATGTGTGACGCTTGAATGATAAGGAAATCCACACAGCATCACCTGGAGATGCACTTGGGAAAGTGGAGTTAATATGGAAATTCAATTTTGATTACAAGCTAATCCCGTTGTCTGCGTCCAATCCTGTTGATTGATTTGCCACTGTGAGTGAGCTGTCCCCGTTAACAAGAATGTGGACGGGCGGGACTGTCGAGCCTGTTTTTACTGTTGAATCTGGGTGATTGACGTGGTAATGGGTATTATCAGCTCCGTTTCGTCGGGTTTTTCTTCGGATGCACCACTTGATCATTTCAATCCTTTCTTTTTGAGTTTCGCTGTTGCAAGCACCCACCACACAAGAGGAATGAGTGAGTAATTGCAACTGAGGCTCATTGGTAGGAACAGGAAAATTCGAAGGATGATGGATAGATAGACTTTACATGGTTACTAGATTTTCTGCTCTTGCTTCTTTGAACGTCTCTCTGGCTTCCAAGTCAGAACCACATTCGTCCTCGAACTCCACCATCTCTTCATTCGACCGAATCAATCGCTCGATCGAGTCTTCCAATCTCCCGATTTCGTTGGCCAAGGTACCAAGATCAAGCTCGAGTAGTACGTCGATCGACATCGGTTGCTTGAGTCGGACTTGGAAGGTGTCTTCTGTCGTGCCCATGCTAGCTCCACTGGAAGTATTCCGGAAGAAATCGAGATCTTGTTGCTTTCTGTTTTTTTTTTTTTTTTTTTTGATGACGTTGCTGGTGGTTGGGTCTGGGTAAGGCCCCAGGAAAGAAAATCGGGTAGATGGTGGTGTGACCAATGTTACATGTTAGCAATAGCATCTCCACACCGCCACTCAACTCTGAAGTTTCCTCATGGTGCTGCTTTTTTATCTTCGCAGTTCTGTCACACTTATACAACGTAACAGAGGTCTACACCGCACAGCCTTGTGGAAAAACTATTTTTATACCAGCTCAACAGGCCCCAAGCTTCAGCTCATGAAATTGGATATCTCTCTTCATTTGTGAACATTTCTCAAAAAAAAAAAAACAATTGATTTATTTCTGGCATGGGAGAGAAGGATTGATTTGTGCATTTAGGCTTGCACATTTGTGGTCCAAATGGAGGTGCATATTGAGCTTGATTTTCAGACTTGAAATATCAAAGACATGATTTGTTATTTGGCCTTAGGATAAAGTTTAATAAAATTCTGTATAACTAAGACCAATTTGAAAGGATTAAAAAAAGCATGCTAAGACTCGGGAAGAGATTTCTTGAAAACTTGGCTCTAATGTGGAAAATGTATCCAGGAGTCGGCAGGGGATATATATATTCCATGATCAAGGATTTGTTGGAATGCAATTTTGAAGAGTCAATGATTTTCATTCCAACTGAGTGGAAAATTGATATCCAAACTAAAGATAATTTGTATGAAATTTGTTACAGTCAAATGGATAAAAGGATGGAAATTCTGCGGAAAAAGTAGTCAGTAGGGGATATGAGATTTAGGCCAATCCACCATTATATAATTGACTGGTTTTGAAAAATCCACAGTTTTTTGAACATGTTGGTTCTTCACCTATCCCTTTTGGGGACCCATTGATGCCAAACTTTATTTTTGGAAAATAAACTGGTTTCCAAGGGTGGATTTCTCATATTTGATACTCCCTAATTAATATTCAAGTTGATACACATAACCAATGTGTTCAATATCAAGAAAGTCTGGGATGTTTGAATTAGAAAATCATTTTTGTGGAATTTAGGCCCACACTAAACCTTACCTTTCATTTTCATGTCAATCTTGTTTTGGAATTTGGTGATCAGATACCATTTTTTTTTCAAACATCTATTCTAAACAATTTCTCTTTTGGGATTCATCATTAATGCTACCACAAAGCTTCACCCAACAACCAATGTTTCTCTTGCTTTTGTTCTTCCTTAGAAAAGCCCTTTGCAGCCAAAGATTCAGAACATCTCCTTTTCAGCAGAATATGCAGCTGTGGAAGCTTGTGGTTATTTCCGCTTGAATTCTTCTAGTGGAATTCATTTGCACTTGCCTTTACCAGGTTTGTTGACCATCTTTTTGGGAAAATGGCTACATTAAACATAGCTCTTCAAAGCTTGCACATGTTTTGGCCCAGCTGTTCAAATTCATTTATCAACTAAAATTGTATTTCTGAATTTGAGTTCATACTTTTCGAGGCCAATTTGGAATAAATGTATTGGTTCAACTGTAGAAGACCTCATTTCCCAATTGATACATCCAAATCTTCATTGTTATATATTTATCTCAAGACAGAAAAAATGTCTTCCTTCTTTGCCTATTTTTTAAAAAAGTAAATCTTGAACTTCATGTTTTCCAGTGCCAAGTATAAGTGCTGAATATCTGTTGGAATGCCCAATTTTTCTGTTATTAGTTGTCCAGATCAAGGAGGGATGTGTGTGACAAGTTCAATGTCATATTCCAGGATGAGGTAGAAAAGAGTGAAAATAGCTTCCATGAACCATGTGTAGAGCAGATTTTTTTTCCTTCTGATATATTTATGATGTCGCCAAGGAGGCAACCTTATCACAATATTGTAGTAAATGGGTATGCACCCCTTGACACCACTGGCACAGTCCGTGAGGACTCGACAAGACATGATGGCTGGTCTGTGTCCTGGATGAAATCTTGGCAGACGGCCAAGTCTTCGAGGGTCGAATTATTGTGAGCGCTGCGGTCCCCTTCAGCTTGGTGCCAGGTATATATCTTCAAGCCCGAGCTCCTCGCCACCACCTTTGACATGCGTATGGATTCTCATTGTATGGAAATATATCTTTCGAGCCGCAGTGCTATAACACATCAGCGATGAATGGTAAACTCGGGCGAATAGAGAGCGTTCCACATCTTCTCGGAAGCTCATTGGTCTTGCCAACTGGAAGGACATATTTATGTATGATAAGCAGCTTGTTCGATCTGCTGTGAGAGATGCGTGCAATTTGTGATTTTTTCTTTTCTTTTCTTTTTTTTTTTTTTGGTGTGGATATGTAAATATGCTGTTTCTCAAGCAAATATTTAGTTCGTATGAACAAACCGGTTTTACATATTTTGCCCTGTCACCCCAGGAGAAAATCTGTGTGATACGAGCGATACGAGGAAAGCATGAATGCTGATGATGATGTAAATATAGTTATGAATGTAAATAATTGCCGAGTTCTTTAATGATGATGATGATGATGATGATAGTCAGATGAGTCTCAAGACACGGGGCCCGACGGATACCGACTGATACCTGTTGTACACATCATCATAAACATGTTCCCGGTGCTGCTGGTTTCGACCTCCTCGAAAGCTCTTCTCAAGTTTTATCTGTTGGGCAGTCATAAAATGGTGGCACTGTGAATCGGCCGGCTCGTGGTGTTAATTATGGTAGTGAGATGACTCTGCACCTTATAACGCGTCACCGCTCACTACAGTTTTTTTTTGGACGGGCACAGTTTTGGACTCATCATCTGGGAGCCTGTTTTGGTACAAGCTCGATATTCTGGTCCAATTAGGACATAGCAACATGTGTATCATACCAGCATTTGGGGTCTTTTCCTGATGAGGTGTACCTGTTTAAGGATGGTTTGATCAAAGTACAGCCATCCATATTGCTTTGCAGGATTGTTCAGGTAAGGGTTGGAAAGGCTAGACAGGATAGCAGGCACTTTAGGCTTCTTAGCCACTTTTGTGGTGGCACAACAATGCCATCTAAGGAAGACAAAATAGGGCTGTTGCAATGCAATTGGTGGTCAAGTTGCAGGTACATATAGCTTACATATGGGGCCAAACAGATAAAAAGACCTACATATACAAACAGATTCTTCAAGCACTATGTAGAGTTGAATTGATCAGTTGTATTCTTTTTTTATCTTTGACCCTGGCATCCTCCAGTTATAAATTTGCCAGGGAAACGCCCCAAGCTACCGTGAGGGTCGTTGTTGGTACTATAAGATGAAGGCGATGATGGTTATGAGACCGACAGTTCAATCGAGTGTTGTGTCGTCGTCGTCGTTGATGCCGAGTGGGTGGGGGTGGCAGTGTTTTTGTTTTTCTCTGTTTTTTTTTTTTTTTTCTTGGGTTTAAACCAGCCGAGATTAATGTTTGGGTAGTTATAATATTAAGCTGGCTGCTGCTGCTGTAGGAGAAATACAGTTGTAAAAGAAATAGGCTCGCGACTGGAGCGTGGCCTGTTCCGAACACTGAAATTGTCCTCCAGTCCGACACTCACAGCGTCGTTGGACCCGTGGCCGTGTTTCTCTCCATCCAACATTTCACCAGGCTCGCCCAAACCCAAGTACAGTCCCACTACTACTGCTCCTCCTCAGCCCTCCCCATCCCAACCAGCTTGTTGACGTTGTCCACCCCTCCTAGCTAGTCAAGCCGACGACTCCTCCCTAACGCGAAGGATACTTTGTCTTTCAATTTCAAGCAGTCTCTCTCCTCCCACTCCTATCTCCTGTCTGTCTCCTATCGTTCGCTTTCGATCTGTTCTTACCTTTTTAAATCACCTGGCTCACCAACCGGGGCACATACATAGCAGCCTCAGCCCATCTCACAACATCTTCTTCTTCATCCCTGAGCTTACCACCCTCCCTCCCCAGATCTTTTCCCTTCTACACAACCAGCCATCGACCTCTTCAGCCCAACCTCAAGCAGTCACATATTCATCCTATCGAGGGTCACCACCAATCTCAGCTCAGATGTCTAGTCAACCGCCACCTCACCTCGAGACGGATGATCAAGCTCAACGCCGGCTCATCATTGAACGGGTCCTCAAGCGCGTCAGATTATCAAAGGTCAGTCACAAACTCATCCTCTTGAATTCATATTCGGCTTTTCAACCTCTTCCCGGGACCATCTTATCATTCGGCGCGTCCATATCCTCAGTCCGCGTTCCACGTCTTCCTATCAGTCGATCGTACAAGATTCGCTAGTCTCGTTCCATTCTCACAATATTGTCCTGGAAGTAGTGAAGGGTGGATCAAGGGAGAGAATGTCTGGCTGGCCCTCCCTCAACCGATTTGCTTTATATAAAAAAGCAGTCCTGTGGCCACTTTGACCATCCAGTGATCACCCCGATCTCGTGACTGATCAGCTACCCATATCCGGTCCGTGCTTCCGCCCTGATCAGCAAGCTGGTCATATTCTTCGTCGTACAGTCCATCTCTCTCTATATATATATATTAGACTGTAGATGTTCGATCCCAATGATATTTGGAGACCAGGGGTGTCCTTCCCTCCTCGCGCTAATCAACGACCAGAAGAACACTTCTCTTTTTCTCTCATTTCCATCTCCTGGACTCCCACACACACACAAATGCTTTATCTTGCGCGCCAAGTTTACAATTCCGCCCGAATACGCTGCTCACCCCCAAGTTTAGATCAGTGGAAACGCATCCAGCGGCAAATACCGGCTCGGCCGGATGGGCTGTCGAGTTAGACGCGTCTGTTTTGGCATGTCCCCCGATCTTTGCTCGTACAATCCAAGCACGAGGGTGAAGCCGGGTGGAATCGCTGGTGTTATCGCTCGTCGCACTAAACTGGGAACACTATCAAGACCTCTCACCACGTGTCTAGTGTACTCCGTGAGCTCGGACATGTATGTCGTGTCACCTCCAGCTCCCGGTTCTCCGTGGCATACTTGTAACACATGAGATATGGAATGTAGCGTTTTCCGATAGCCACCATCCACCCTTATTTTTTCAGGTGCTTCAGGCCCTCCTGAATTTTGGCCCCAACTCTTACCAAACCTATGACGAGTTCAAGCTGCCACGTATGTAGCAAGAATGTCAGATTACGTCATGACTTGAACAGCTCAAGCAAGATTTTCTTCACCCTACTTCTGGGCATTTTTTCCTCACTTGTCTGTTATTTGTCTGAGGTGTCAGGCTGGATCATCATTGCTAACGTCCTATCTCTCGCTTTATCTTTCGGTGAACATCAGGCAAAGCGAGCATTACAGACACGTCTTCGGCTAGCGGGTTTCAAGGCATCGCACGGGTGGCAGGACGTTTCTTTTGAAAAGATTGAACCACAGCTCATGGGGACCTTGAAACAAAAACAAGCGGAACTAGCTCCATCACGGGTCCGACGGCAATCAAATCGTTCATCTCAGCGTTCTGAACTATCCCCGCATCTATACCCTGGCGACAATCGTTCTCAGCCCGCGTGGACCACTCCCGATCACAGACTTCCCAGCTACATGAATTCAGAGACTGATAGCACCCACACATTTTCACTCCGGACGACGCCCCAAATGATTTCTGGAGCATTCAGCGCGCCACCCTCAACCCAACCTCGATCACTGATCCAACCGCCCTCATACCCCCACACGCCCGAACAAATCATCCGCTCAAAATGGACCATGTCTCGAATCCCCAGTCAAACACATTCCAACACGACTCCCGAAGACGATGAGCTCAGGGATCAAACCACAGCCGCCGAAATGATGCTCTTCCTGGCCACCGGATCTCCCTCACCCGACCATCGATCCATCAGCTCAGTCACCCAAAACAGATGCCTTCATCCTCAACTCCAACCGCAATTTCGAACTTAAAAAAAACTCTCTCCGAATTTGTTTGCAGTAATTTTTGGAAGAAGAAACACAAAAAAGAAAAACAACAAGAATGAAAAAAACAGCAGGCTTTCATTTATTGCTCCCTTATTTTTTTTTTTTCCTTTTGTTCTTCTTCTCTTACTCCATTCTCTCCTACCAACAAGAAAAAGCAGAAGATTTCAATTGGTTTTATTAGGTTTTCATTTTGTATTGTTAATAATGATCACTCATAGAACAATTGTTGTCAGTAATACATCATCGTACGCATCCATCATCCTCATCCAAAAAAAGGAGTCACCCTGCTTGTGTTGTTGTGTCTCTGTATATCATTACTTGCAATCCTCACCTCTTGGTAATCGGTCCCTTCAACTTGACGGCATAGAACCCTTGGGTAAGAACTCATCTGATTCTCCATATTGACTCATCACCATGATGAGATGCAATGACATGGGGTGGTTGATGTGGCTCGATCTGGTCATCCTTCTCTCATGTGTTTGCAGCAACACAGGCTCCTCATTGGCTTTGACCTCTAAATCAAGCAGATATGTAGGGCTGCATTTTCAAATGGATTCTCATATTCTTGGAGTGCCTTTTTGGGGTGCACTGCTGCCCTGAGGACAGCCAACTGCACCTGTGGTGTATTTTGTCTGGGAAGCCCAGCTGCTGACACCTGTTTAATCATTCATTCACTCATTTGCTTCTGGGATGAGCTTGAGCTGTGGATCCGCGGGAAGCTATGTAACTGTCCATTTACATCCAAGTGGGTGCAAGGAAGGACTTGGTTGCATGCGGAGATTGTTCTGAGTTAAATTGATCTTGGAACGTAGTAGTGGTGTTCAAAGTCGAACCATAAATTCATCAATTTTTTTTTTTTTCATGAATGAATTAATCGAGGCATAGATTATGTAAGCTGTTCTGTGAAAAAAAAAATATTTATGAATTTATGTTTATACATTTATGGACCAACTTTGAATACCACTAGTGATGCCAAAATGATTGGGAATGATTGCCCAAAATGACCATTGAAGGTTTTTTTAAACTGACATTTTGAAGCTCATCCATTCTCTCTTTTTTATGAAGGACAGAGTTCTGCAAGATAATGAGCCTGGTAAGTTTCGCTCAAAATTTATGCAACCGTTGTTTGAGGGCCAGAATGGCGTCTTGATCTCATCTAGCTGCTTCAAGTTGTCTCTTTACCCCTTCGGGGGGGTTTTTTTTGAGGTGGATTGGAATGACCGAAAGGCTGACAAATGTTAGGAAGCGTTCTTTGGAAGCAAGGAATGGACATTTTGTTACTTGATGCTACACATTTTGAAGAGGAAGGTACAAATCTGACTAGGAAAAAACGTAAACGAATGTTCGAAGAGGAGGGATGACAAAGTGGGCCACTACCAGCCATTACCCGTCACACACACACTGCTCCCAACAGGAATGTCCTGTCTGACTAGCTTAGCATTGGGAGTGTGGGTCGGGGCTCAGACAGGCATGTGGGAGCAGTCACGACTGGCAGTGGCACCCGACGATGAAAAAAAAAAATCTTGATGAAACTACGCGAGAATTACAGCTAAAGCGAAGGAAAAAATTGACGACACTCCTAAGGAAGAAGCTTCCACCCTTCCAAAGGCTGCCGACTTGGCCGACATCTTCGGTTGTCCGTTTGAGTTATCACTGGTCGTATTGTGATGCGTAGCCGTAGCCGTGGTTGTAGAGTTTTTCTCGGCGGCAGCTTTCATCTTCTCGGCGACACCGGGCATGCTACAATGCTGAGCAGACTGGGACTTGTATTGCTCTCCCTGGGCGGCGAGGCTCGGGCAGCCGTTGTAGCAACTCGCCAAGTTGGCGTATGTCCTGCACGAAAGGTTTAAAATTAGAATCAAGATGTATAACCTTGGTTTTACTGGGGTAGTGCGCTCACTGGCACAGGCAAGTGTCATCGGTTTGATGGCAAGAAGAGACGTCCTTGTGGACATGTTCCTGTGGCAAATGAATGAATGTAAGAAGACGTGAGTGATAGCCAATCCAACAATCATTAACGATATCAAATCCTAAATAATTCAAAAACAAACCAAGCAAGCATTGATATTCTTGGAAGCGCTCCCGCAACTGGCTTCGTCAACCGCAGGGGTAGTCACATTAGACACCAAGCTTTGAGTACCGTTGATAGCGGATCCCGTAGTGTTAGCCACAGCAGATACAGCTTTTGAAGCCGCATCAGCCAACGCACTTGATGCATCGCCAGTCGAGTTAACACCAGCCGATGGGGCGGCTGGGGATGAGTTGCTGTTGGCGTTGGCATCTTGAGCGAAGGCGGCTTGGAAAGTCGCCAAGAGCGAAATCGTCAATGAGAGCATAACCATCGTGATCAAACGCTTATCGGTCTGGTGAGTTGACGTCAACGAGTGTGATTTCGTTTGATTTAATTTAATTTAACGGAACACTGGAGTGGTGTGCTCAAAATTAAGGCTTCTTAATGTCGCCTGGAGGGAGATCCTGATTTGAGAGCGAAAGGAGCTGGGAGGAGTGTCGGTTGGAATAGGTTATCTTCTGTGGTGTGTGCAGCTGATGGCGGATGGTTGATAAATGCCGGATGCTTCCACGGGGGCAAGAGCTTTGTCTTAAATAATAAGATGCAAGTGTGCTGGATTGCCGCTTGACAGATCAAATAGCCCCAGAAACCAAGGTCGGTCCGGTTGCACTTATCCAACATGATCTTCCAGGCCACATTCTGCCAATCCGCCGCTGGAGACTCAAGTCTTGATTGAGAGCTCTAGTCCTCATCGCCGGGAGAGAAGATCGTCACCGATTGACATAGGTGACGATTCGATGGGATGGTCGGCCACAACCAACTGACAGCAGTTGATTAATTGGATGCAACGCAGGAAATCACAACCAGTGGACTGATGACATGGATCTGTGGAAATGACTTGGAGCCGAGTGAAATAGTGGGTGTCGATTCAACATCGGAAAAGGGTAATTATGACTGCAAGGATGAGGATAGGTAAATGTTAGTGATCATGGTCTGGACTCTGGGGTGTAGACATCAAAATGGCAAGTACCTGTGTTGAGGCAGAGGTGAGGGGCCATGATGGCGACAAGGGGTACAGCCCACATGGTTCAGAATATGGACTCCATGACCTTTTTCTGGAGGATGGTGGTTGTGGACTTTTTAGCCTTGGGCTTTATCTGATCACAGCTGGCAAGAATTAAACTCAATTGGAAAAATAAGAATATGGGCATTGGTTTTCTAAGGAAAAAATCAAATCAAAAAGTGCCATCAGGCTTAGTTAGACAGGTTACCATGAATGCTGGGCCAACTACGCTAACCATAGCGTTAGTCTAGCGTAGTGTACAAAAATAAACTACATATTGGATGACTTCCCGTCGGCATTTACGACCCTCACAGAATTGGATTTACACCATGAAGGACTCAATTTTTGGCAAAAAAAATCTCTCTTCAGAAGCCATGTAGTAAAGGCCCTCATGTGAGCTAGTTGAGGTTGTGATTAGAGTGTTAATTTAGAACTGAGAGAGGTCTAAAAAGCACTCTAAACTGCAACGGGAAGTCCTCCATTAGGGGGTATCAAATGTAGGAAATTGAGATCAAGTACTTTATTGCAACTAATATCCAAAAGCTAATAGTAGTAAAAGAACTGAGACAATAAAGAGCAATTGATCAGAAATGAAAGAGAACACAAAACAATTAAGAATGAGAATGAGTGAAGATAAGAAAAGAATGAAATCTTCTGGTACCTTCAGATTTTCTTGACCTGACTACGACTCAATACTCAGATGCGAGAAACAATATTAGGAGAAATGGAATAACAACAAGCCTGAAGAAAAGAAAATAAGATCAATTATCAAGAACACATGAGTTGAGACGATGAAAAAGAAATGACTCGAGTGTACCTCCACTTGTGTTAGAACCAAGCTCCTCCTGAGTTTCGATAGTCTTGGATGAGTGGTTAGGCGGTACAAGAAAGCAGCTACCGGGACCACTACTTGACATCAAATATAAGAAATTTGAAAAGGGGGTTGGAAAAACGACTCCCTAAAATTTGCCGACGACTCCCATTTTGGTCGAGGGGTCGTCGGACGGGAGTCGTCTTTCCAATTCCCCCTGGGGGATTGGGAGTCGACTTCCCGATTTTTTTTATTAAAATTTATTTTTTTGGGTGGGAGTCGGCGCCCAAAACCCTCCTTGGCAAGTGGGAGGTTTGGGAGTCGCCTCCCTCCCACTGGCCGGGGGGATTCCCTCTGGTCTCAATGACCAGAAAGAATCCCTTCCGGTCATCAAGACCATACAATCTTGATGGCCGGAAGGAACCCCTTCCGGCCATCGAGACCAATCTTCGTGACCGGAAGTTCCGGTTGGTCTAGGCTCTACACCTCATCGATCGGAAGGATATCCTTCCGGCCGATGAGATACAACAACACCATCGACCGGAAGGAATCCCTTCCGGTCAATGGTATTGTTGTTTCTTATTGACCGGAAGGATTTCCTTCCGGTCATGGGAGCGACTCCCAAACCCCCTCAAGCATGAGGGGTGGTTTGGGGATCCGACTCCCAAAAATGCAAAAAATAAAATAAAAATAAAATACAACATCATTGGATGGCCGACTCCCAAAGTCGGCCATCCATTTGGAAAAACGACTCCCATTCGACGTCGGACGACCGTATTTGGGAGTCGGCGACTAAAATTTGGGGGTCATTTTTCCAACCCTCTTTGAAAAATGAAAAGCTCATTTACTCTTAAAATAAGAAATTATTTTGAACAGTGTGCTATGACTGATTTAAAAGGCTCACATGTTCTCCTTTGAGAAATACATCCATCAAAAATGGTGGGTTAGTTTAGGAGATAATGAGGTTATAAGATTTCAAATTTTTCATATCTGATACCCCCTATTGTAGTGTAGTGTTAGCGCAGATACACAAATCTGCGCTAACACTATGCGTGCGGGCGGCAAAAAAAGGCCCACTATGCTGCGCTACAGCATTTTAGCGGTTTTTGGGCTTTTTTGCCGATAAAAGCGCTGTAGTGCAGTGTAGCTTAGTGGCACTAACAGCGCGCTAACACTACAGGTTTGGCACACTGTTTTGAGGGCGGCTACACTAATGTTAGTGGGCTGTTTAGCGTAGTGTAGCATTGAGGTTACCCCTATCCAGTGCAACTCCATTTCAGCCTCCATTAGCACAAAAAGGGGCCACAAAAAGAAAAAAAAACTGCCAAATTATGCTGTGCTGCATTTTGTTATCAAAAAGTACTACAGTAGTGGTCTACTGATCCTTTAGGTTTTGGGCGCTTTTTGTATGGTATGATTTCTCCAACAGTTGGACACAAACACCAGCAAGCAATTAACAGATAACCAAAACAAGATCCCGAAAATCTATTCCAACCCTAACAGACAGGACAAGATAGGCCAGTTCACGTAGCTGCTTGCTCACAAATAAAATTTCTGTGACAAGCAAAACTTAACAACATCTCACTTGAAGTTTTGGTGAAGTCCCACGCACAACATAAGCAAGCAGTGCAACTTTTCAGACTTGTGAATAAAAACACCCTACATGAACTGGGCCAATGAACAACAAGTTTTCACCAGAAAATGATGAAAATGAATGAAAAGGAAGAGGAAAGAGATCAGAAAACAAGTGCAAATATAAGATAGAAATGACCCAGGAAGCCTCAGGAAGTAAGGCATAAATTCAATATTATGAGTCCAAATGAATGAGATACTTTTTGGTTTGATTCGAGAGGAAAGTGGCGGATCAATATCTCATTGGAGATTTTCCTCTGGGTAGCGATTAAGGGAATGTTTCAAGGATTTCAGGTTTGATACATTCTTTATGATCATAAGGACAGTGAATACCTGGGAGCTTCAATAGATAATCATTTAGTTCACTTGTTCTATCAAAGACGTTCCACAGCCTATAGAAATTATCCAAATAGTAAACATTTTTAGCTGCATGATGAACATGTTCCCTTTGGATTATAGCTTGAGTTAGGTGCTTCATGATATCCTCCCTGCTTTTTGAGAGTGAGAAATCATTTCCCTTGATATTCTTAAAGTTATAGTTCTTCTTCCTGTAGTTTTCCTTTGGGAAATAAGTTTTGTAATTTTGTAATTTTGCACAAAGATGATGGATTCCTGAAATTGAGTTCAATTTATCCATCAGGTTTTCTACTCCTTGGATTCCATCAAATAAAAAGTCACCATAGTTTTCTTTAAAAAAATCTATAGCCATGAATATAGTAGCAAGCTGGAGTGCTTTTTCTTTACTTTGAGTTTGATGCCCAATTTGTTCAAGGAGGATGCATAAATTCTCAAGCCTATTCTTCAACTTGCTGGTTTGAAATCCCTTCCTGAAGTTTACTTTTTCATCTTGTGACATCAAGAGATATCCCTCAAATTCATGGAATGCTTCATCATCATCAAAAATTGTCTTCCCCAAACTTTCCCATTGATAGTTTAAGGTTCCCCTTTTGGTATCTTCTACTTCCCTCAACTTGGTACCATGGAAAGCAGCTGCTTTGGTGAAGTTGTAAATTAGAAACCTCTTGGATCCAGAATCAAGAGCTGTGATTGAAGGGAATAACAATTATCTTAATCATCAGGAATTGTCATAAATGATTTCACACAATGAAAATACTGAGTAGAAACTAAGATTTGTATCTTACCTTCAAACACATTCTTGTCAAATGGTAAATACAAATCATTCTCCAAAATGCTTCTGGTGATGTAGTTGATGGGATAATAAATGTGATTTTGAAAATTTTCTGAAACTGCAGAGAACAAATTTATAGCAGCAATTTCCAGTATAGTTTTTGACTCAAAGAATTGTCTTGAATCTTCAATAGATATCAACCCAAATTTGTTGAGATGACCTACAGTTCTGAAAATTATATTTTGCAGTAAAAGAGTTGTTTGATTTTGAAAGTGATCATACCTTTCTTTTATTTTGATTTAACCATGATTCTGTAATAGGGAAGCCAGTATTTTCATACAGTATCTGAGTGTTTTCTTCTGTTGGAGGATATCCTCAGATTTTTCAGAAGAGAAATCTTCTTGGGGATTTTCAACTTTGTTTTTTATGTAAATTACCCTTCTTTTATCTGAATCTTTGTGTAATTCACTGTTTTTATAATTTGGAACTAGATCTGAAAATCCATCAAGATAATTAGCTTTCTGGTTGATTCCACCTGATGGGAATTCTGCCAATTTATTTTCATGATTTTGTAGATTATCAGAAAGGAGTTCAAAAATATTTTCCAAACTTTCCAGTAATACTGGATCTTCTTTTTTATTTTTTAGTTTATCATTTTTGCTGCTAAATTCCTTTCTGTTATCTTCATCTTCAGATAATTCCATTTTTTTTGGGTTATCAGAGAAGTTGGATTCCTGGGTAAATTCATTTAATTTGATTTTTCCCAATCTAATTTCCTGATTTATCAAATTGGTTGAAATCACATGGAGGACACTCTCCAACTGTTGATAACAATCCAACAAATTCCTTTGCTTGACAGTGTCTTGTATTCCTGAAATTTCCCTTCTGTAAAGGGAAATCAAACCCCTCAAATTTTGAATATCTTTTTCCTGTTGGTAAATGACTGTTTGAAAGTAATTTTGATCAGTCACACTTACAATTATTTTGAGTTTTTTTTTTCACCTTTTATTTTTGAAAAATTTGTAGAAAAAATAAAAAGAAACAAACCTTCTTTGCTCAATTTTGGTGGTTGAATTTTGGGATCTGATAAGAATAAAATGACAAGGTAAGTTTATATTTTTTGAGTTGACAGATGTGCCAGTAGCTTACATTCTTCTGCTGATTCACTTCCCCAGATAAATCTATTGAGGAAAGTTACCAGCTTGTCAGAAAGTTGATCATTCTTGAAAGTTGAAATTATATGATCTTCCACCTCTAGTGGCTGGTATTTCAGAGTTCCCTGAGCTACATGAGCTGTTGATTTTACATTTATTTGGCTAGCCATGGGATTGTAACCATATTCTGTCTTAATCCGAGCAGATTGAATATCTGGTTTCACTAATAATGTTTTAAAAGAGAGCAGTCATCCCAACAATCAGTATCCTTGCTTTGAAAAATAGAAACAAAAAATGATAGAATCAGGATCATACTTTGGGAGATTGAAGCTTCTGCACCACCCTTTAAAGGCTGGTTCATTGCATGAGCTGCTTGTAAGAAGCATAGGACCTGCAATAAAATGTGGAGGTACTTCAGGGAAATATGCATGGCTCAAAGTAACACAGAGATGAAAATTCAGAGTCAACAGATAATCAAAACAATGAGGGGGGTATTGAGTGTTCAAAATATGGAAGAAAATATCTCTAATTTTATAGTCAAATCAAGACCAACTATCTTCAGACTTCAAGAGAGCTGGTGTATATACATGAGGCAAGTGTCGGCCTGTGTACAACATCTAATCATTTTCCAACACATGCTTTACATAAGCTTTTTGGCTGTTCTTAATAGCTTCTGACTTGTACCAGCTTGGTGATGAACATTGTAGCATCATTATGCTCTAGTTTCAGCCCATGTTAAAACCATGCTGAAGCTTATGCACTTCAGGGGCTGCTTAAGGTTGGATTGCCAAATTATTCAGATACAGTCAATACTAGAACCAAGACTGCTCTACCACAAAGCACTACATCCATTTTCATTAAAATTGTATATGTACAGTTGCGCGCGGCATTGTACTGTACAGGATTCTGGGATGTCGGAATGGTCGGGACCCAAAATTTGGAAAAATTTGATTTTTTTTGTTAAGTTCTGGGGTGTTGAGATGTCAATCTGACATCCACGCTGCTGTAATCGAGCCAGCTGATGCACTTTTGAGCATATACATTGGCTTTAAGCTTATGTGTATGGGCTTAGGCTGACATATAGCCATACAAGTATGGGTTTATGGTGTCAGCCTATTGCATATTTATGTACTTAGGCCCCCATATTTGGCCTGTGACCAAATGGTCCGGTGAAAAAAAGAATTTTTTTTGTTTGGCTGGACCAAATTGGTTGCCGATTTAGATTTGGAATCTACACACCTTTTAGACTCCAAAAATGTGTTCTTTACAGGTGCTGGACCCCCGTCGGGGGTGAGGATCAACCCCGCGCGACCTAATCAACATTTGCGGGTGGCCTTGTACAGTAGAATGCCGCGCGCCACTGTAGTAATAAGGTCTAATTTTCTGTATGAAGTTGGGAATGACAAGGCTTTGTTGGAACAATGGCCAAGAGTGTATGATTGCTGAGTATGGGACAGGGAGAGAGTAAAGGGTCAGAGGGAAGGAAATTGATGAGATCATAGTCCAAAACTACGTTCAACTCTAAGGAACCAACCGTAAATTTTGATGGATGGATTGCATTGGACAGGAAGTCAAGTTAGCAGGATAACAATAAGTGGATATTTCCCTTGTCCAAACAGTGGGCATGGGCATATGATGATGAAACTAAGAGAGCGAGGATCAATGATCGGAGAGGGGGTAGTGATAGGATACAACTACATCCATATATCAACAGCGTCACCTAGCTTACCAAAGCCTCTCGAACGGAGGGTCCCGAAGGGACCCCGCGTCCCCGCGGGACGCTCTCCGTAGGAGAGGCTTAGGAATTATCAGCCATTTTCTGTCGTACAAGTTTGGCTTTTTGAGGGTCAAAATTACAAAAAAAAAATTAAAAATTGGTCATTATGTTTATCGCAATTATGCCTCCTAGGAATTTTAGCCAAGATCCTCGCGCACACAATCAATGGACTCACTTCCCTCCATTGGCTGAACCAGATTTTACAAAAATAAACTAAGAAAGAAGAAAACAAGAAAAGGGTCGCTATTTTTTTCAGAATGAGACTGAAAATCAATCTGCAGGATCTTCTTTGTTAGACAGATCTTCCAATCCTGAAGTTCCTTGCAGATGCAGTCGGGATAGCATAAGTGCATAGAATGAGGAAGGGAAATGAGCCGGTGCACCTCCCAGCACTCTTCCACTCACCTCCCTTTCGCGATCTTTGAAGCTCTCAAGAAAATGGTTGGACATCAAGCAAAAGACCTAACCCGATTAGTCACCAAGAAGGTTCATGAACTCAACGATGATGATCTGAGGACTCACATTGAGAAACGCGGAATTGAGAGATACAAGCAGAGCTGCAAAACTCTCCAGGTCGATACGATTGTTAGCCTTGTGCGAGGAAACAAAACATTTCTACTAGCTGCCACAGGCTTTGGGAAAACCAGGATCGCTGAACTGTACCTTGATTTGACGCCAATAGCTGGCATATTCTGATGACCTTTATTGGGAGGGAAATTCCGTCGACTGCCATCTTGCTACCGTTTCTGTATGTTGATGATGGCTGCGCTGGCTTCCTCTTGTGTTTTGTGTACTTGACGCACAGCCAGACCCATTCAGGGGCTGAAAAAGCATAAAGATTTTCACTGTTAAAATTTGAAAATCGGTCTTGCGATTGTGAATATGGTTGGATTGACAAAGAGGACATGCTGTTTATCCATCTTGACAGCTTCTTCAAATTTTTATGTTTTCAAAAAATTATTATCAGGCCAATTTTGACCTTGAGGCAATGAGACCGGTGCCATTCAAAAGAGCATAAAAATATCTATCATTTCCCTCTTTGGTGTGATGATTGGTGGCCCGAGAGAGGCTGTACATGACTTTGAAGAAACACTCCAGCCAAATGGGTCAAACCGATACAGTCAAATTGCAGGGATAATTCACAAGTCCCTCCTTCGGAGGGCGCCCGCGCAGCCCGGGCGCTCTAGGCCTAGCCGCTTGCCCTCCGAAGCGATGGGACTTGTGATAAGTTAGCAGCGTCACATAGTGACACTGGACTACCCAAGGCCAAGCTGCTTTGGCACTTCTCTTGAATGCAGTTGAGAGAGGCTAGCAAGGGTCGAGTCAAGACTCCAAGCCGGGGTTTCCCTGTGGGTTAAACTCTGCACCTGAATTACCAGATCTACAGGGCAATTGAGAAAGACTTGACCCAGTGGATGTCCCTTGTTGAGTGGCCTTTGGGATATGTATGATGATTGCATGTTCTTATCAAACCAGCCAGCCTCTGCCCAAATGCACCCTGAAAATATGGTTTACATACATTGCTCCACATAAGCCCCTTTTCCCCACCTGGTTGGCCCCCTCCCCCCTATGTGGGCGCTCCCCTGTTCTCCCCGATGGGCTTGTTTAAGCTGGCTCGGTCAAACCGGATGACGACCCCCAGCCGGGACTCGAGGAAGGCTTGACCAACCAGCACCTGCCAAAAACCAAACCACCACCACCACCACCAACACTCAACGGTCAACAGTCAACAGACGAACAAACTCAACCAAAAACTTATCAAAGGAATGTCAGCCTCAAGGTTCCTCCTCAGCAAGCCATCCCAGGCTCTGCTCAATCAGGCCTCCCGTCGGATCGTAAGAACTCAGCCCATTCAACCCGTTAAATCATATACTTGAGCCTCAAGAAAGACTCATTACTAATAAATCTCTTTGTTGTTTGGCGAATCGTTAAATCTTTCCCGTCTTTTTCTCCAGCCCGTACCCTCCACCTCTGTCCGATCCCTGGCTACGATTGCACCCTCTTCAACTTTCCCTCAAACTCGCATCTCGACTCTACCCAACGGCGTGAGTGATTATGGGTCCCTTGTCTTTTGAACGATCGAGATTAACCAATTATCACCCTGTGATCATCAGTTGACCGTAGCCACCGAGCCTCACCCTCACTCTCAAACAGCTACCGTTGGTATTTGGGTGAGTCATCCAAGCTTCGAACTCACCCCCTCATCAGGAATGATACTCATCCCTGTTCTCGTGAAAATAAAAAGATCGACAGCGGAAGTCGAGCCGATAAGCACGGCGGGACCGCCCACTTTCTGGAACATCTCGCTTTCAAAGGTTTTTATGATTCCTGAAATAAACCCCATGAAGAAAATCTTGTTAATCGGGACTTGCTGGATTGCTATCTTCTTATTAGGTACTCAAAAACGAACCCAGCATTCCTTAGAGCTAGAAATCGAGAACTTGGGAGCGCATCTGAACGCATACACATCCCGAGAACAAACATGCTACTTTGCCCGTAGTTTCAGTCATGATGTACCCAAAGTAGTCGAGATCATTTCGGACATCTTGCAAAACTCAAAACTGGAGGAAGGGGCGATCGAAAGAGAGAGGAGTGTGATCTTACGTGAACAAGAAGAAGTCGATAAAGCACACGAGGAGGTCGTCTTCGATCACTTGCATGCCGTTGCCTTCCAAGGAGAAGATCTCGGCAAGACCATCCTCGGTCCAAAGCAAGCCATCTTATCCATCAAACGCCCCGATCTAGTCGAATACATCAAGTCCAACTATACCGCCGACCGAATGGTCCTCGTCGGTGCCGGTGGATTAGAACACGAGGCACTGGTCGAACTGGCCAGTAAGAACTTGGGTAATCTGCCTACCTCTTCCTCACCGATCCCACTCGGCGGGCGAGGCCAAATTAAGCCTACAGGCTTCACCGGTTCCGAAGTCCGCATCCGAGACGACACGATGGACACGATCAACTTGGCGATCGCCGTCGAAGGCGTCGGCTGGAACTCGCCCGACCTCTTCCCTATGTTGGTGATGCAGTCGATCTTCGGAAACTGGGATCGATCGCTGGGCTCGAGCCCATTGATGAGCTCCCGATTGAGTCATGCGCTGTCGAGCAACAACCTCGTGAACAGCTTCCTCTCCTTCTCGACCTCCTACTCCGACACCGGCCTCTGGGGGATCTACATGGTTTCCGAAAACTTGACCAACATCGACGACCTCGTCTACATCACCCTGCGAGAATGGCAGCGCATGTCCACCGCACCGACCGAGATCGAGGTTGCCAGGGCAAAGTCCCAGTTGAAGGCCAGTATGCTCTTTAGCTTGGACTCCTCTAATAACATCGCCGACGACATCGGCAGACAGTTGGTCACCTCCGGTAAACGAATGACCCCTCAGGAGATCCAGATTGCCGTCGAGGCTGTCACGCCCGAAACGATCCGTCGTGTGGCTCAAAAGTACCTCTGGGATAAGGACGTAAGTGACAACCTCACTGTTACTGATATCATGATAGATGTCAACTGACGATGCTCTACTCTTCAGATTGCTGTGGCCGCCCTGGGTCGGGTCGAAGGTCTTTTGGAGTACAACCGTATCCGAGCCAACATGTCATCTCTCACTTGGTAGAAGAGCGAAAAAAAGAAGTCATTTTCGATGTTTTCCATTTTGTTTTTCTCATTTGTCAATGTCAAGATATATTATACAATCCAAAATAAGATTCCTTTCCACTGTTTTCAATCTTACACCTCTTTCTCTTGCTCTCTCGCTCTCTTCCTGAGAGAGAAAGTCATTTCCGAGGAAAACACCCTTTTCTTCATATAAACATATGACACAAGCAACCAAGTGTATAAATTTGCCCTTCACTTTCTTAAAATTAACTTGGTGCTTCTCTCAATTTGGAGTTGTCCATCGGCATGCTTGAAATTGTATTTCAATTGAAGACCCCCCCCCCTCCCCTCCTCGACCTTTCTCATTCTTTTTCTACATTCATAGTAATACATGGGTTTCATTTTCCCTTTTTGAATACAGATCTACGTCTTGCCTGCATATACATATTTATCCTTATCAGTCCTACGTGATGATCAGAGTGACTCTGATCACCACAGAGGAAAAGTATCCATTGGTGAATGATTATGTGGTACACAGGATCGAATGCTTCGAAAGCAGCTGAATGATTGGAGTTGTTCGGAAGTCTATCCATGTGCACAGCATCGCTCTCCTACGTCGGTGATCCGGCAATGGCATTGGTTGCGCCATGAATACATATTCCTGAGTTTCGACTCCAAGCCACCCAACACCAAAGATGTCGGATTATTCTGGAGCATAATCAGGGGTAATCACCCCCAACTTCCAAGCAAGTGTTTCGGAGGGACCGCCTACTTGGGCTCCATATTATTGTTGATGAAGGCCGGTGCTACGCGTCGACGGTCGAACGAGTAAATTATGAAACGGGAATCCAAGTATCCATCATCAATAGCATCGACTGACTGGCCTTCAGCAAGCATCATACCAGTGGAACCGTGATTTCATGCTTACCATTCGGCCACATCATTCGCCATTGGGGAAGTATGTAAATAATGCGGCCTGCAAGGTATCAAAATATCTAAAAAAACATCCCGAAGATATCGGAATTCTGAAGTGCTCATTAGGATACATATTAGCACCAGGATATGTACCAAAACCTTGTCTTGGATTTCGCTTTCCTATTGGGAAGGACTGTACATACTTCGTAGCTCAGAAAGTCAGGAAGATAACCATACATACACCTGAGGAAGGCTGTGTCTGTGCAATGCTGATAGCGAGATCGCACTTGTAAAAAATGTAAGAGGACAGATTGCTCAAGATACTTTTGGACCATCTCGTCTCCATGAACGAAATACATAGCTTGGTGTGCTCGATCAACGCCCGTCAGGCGACACCCTCCATCTCTCATCCAGGCCTCATTGTCCACAACTTCACTCATTCATAAAATCAATTCTAGCAAAGTTTCTTGCCCAAAAAATTACACTTCGTCATACGTGCACGCTTTTCAAATATTTAGATATCTGATTAACAGCGGTTCACTTCTTCTTCCATTCTTAGCACCATAGCAATTTAGCCTTCATTTAACACCCAGTCTTTTCACTTTTTGTTTTATTCTTTACAGCTTAACAGCTTAGCTCTCATTAAACTTCCAGTCTTTTCAACTTTGTTAGTGTCCTTGTGCCCATCATGCGGTCATTCGCAATATTGTTGGGTTTCTTGACTCAATTCTCACTTCATAACTCTCTCCCAATGGAACTGTTGGCAGGCTCTAGTGTGTCAAGGTTGTCACACTCCGTCGAAAGTTCGCCTCGCGGTCCAGGAATCGCCGCTGACTTAACAGCTACGAGCACCAAAAACTCAAAAATTCCGCCTGTCTATTTGACAGACGACTCGCACCCTGGCAATGTGAACGCAATGGAAAACGAGTGGAAAACCCCTTGGTCCGATAAAAAACAGACACTGATGCATCCCGCATCCCCGGCTTCAAGCGAGAAATCGGGTCTCTCCTCGAGCTCACAGACATCCCTTGAAACTTTCATTCCTCCTAGGACTTCGTCGGACGAGGACTTTCTCAAAAGTCCGGGAACAATCTCCACATCCTCCACTGAAGCATCCACAAGTCGGGAGCTTTCGCTTGGCGACGAGTTGGGACATTCTTCTCCAGAGGCAACTTCTCAACGTGTCAATCAAGCTAGTACCATATACCGCCATCTTTTGACCAACGCTGAGAAGCCACAGGTCCAACTAGAGAAAAACAGTTATTGGGGTCGGCTCACGACGTATTTGGATCGAGCCAAGGGTTATTCACCATTTGGTCGTCCTAAAACCGTATTGCAGCTTACTGAAACCGATGCATCAGAACTCAACATCTTTCTTTTGCGCGCACGCCAAAAACTAAACGCGGAAGACACCAAGGTTCTAAATGAATATTACCAAACCTTCTCGGCGTTCAGTAAGAAATCGACGACGATGATTCAATCCAATCCAGACAGTTACGAATTCCTGTCAGAGTGGGAGAAAAAACATTTTATCGCTCATACCATCATGAGTAATTTCTTCAAAAAGATATTGTCAGACAGCGAGTTCTCGAGAAGGGAGAATGTTTTTCATCTGCAAAGAGAGCAGTATCGAATCGTCGCGGGCTGGGGAAAACAGGAGAAGTCTATCCAACAGGCGACTGGCTATCTGGAGGAAGAGGTCAAAGGATTCGGAAATCTGCTCGGAGGAAAAGATTTTTTCCCTTCGTTCGACAAGGTGGACTCACAGGCGACCTTGAATCAAATCGAATCTTTGGAGAAAGAAAAGCCCAGACTAGCGAAGGCTTGGGAAGACTATTTGCAACCCGAAGAGTATGACTCACGGATCCAATTGCTGAACACTTTGGCGCAGTTGAAGAAACCTCATCAGATCCCGTCGGAAACGATTTCTGCATGGAGAGCGCAAGGACTAGATGTAGACAGAATGCTGAAGATTGTCGACTACAGACCGGGAAAGATCGAGCAACTCGTCGAGGAAGGACCACGTGGAAAGACACAATTCGAAAACCTAGAAACCTATCAAGCCGGCAGGAGACTGTTTCTTACTGAAAACGTCTACGGAATACCGTGGTCACAAAGTCTCGAGCATTATCAATTGATGCAAGCATCTGAAGATGTAAAACTCAAGTATGTCGATCTCAGCAAAGCACTCCGAGGTCCTCCCAGGATAGCACCAGCACCTCTTCCAATTAGTCCCCAGACACCACCAACACCTCTCGAACTCAGAACTTTCTCCTTATCCATTAGCATTCCCCAAAGCAAATATAACTTTGTTCAGAAATTTGTGAAATTTGTGGGATTAAACTCCAAACCTTTCTGAAAAGCAACAAGGTTAGCTTTGACTCTGATTCCATTCTATAGCAAATTGAGACTGAAAGTTGGATAATTTGAAACTGCCTGTCAATTTCATTCATTTCCTGTCCCTTCTCTTGTCCCTTGTTGTTGTTGTTTTTTCTACCAATATTTTCTTTCCTACTTACAGACACAAACAAATTTAAGATAATCTTTCCAAAATTCCAATCAAGGTTTAATATCCTCTTGAAAAGATTCATCTTGGAGAACAATTAATCAAATAACGGTGAGAAAGGACGAATGAAACAGGAAGCAACTTGATTGGAAAAAAATGAAAATTCTTGATCAAAAGTAAAAATCTAGTTCACTTGAAATGAAAAGCTGAAGGGAATTTCTGAGCCAAGTGGCAGTGGTGCATTTTAGACTTTCAGATTCCACATTCTTACCTTCTATTCTCTAACAGGGCTTGGAAAAAGGGGTTCCATTTTCCACCACAATACAGAGCCACCAATTTGCATAAAACTAAGGACCTGTACCATGGCAACCAATTTTGCTGATTTCCAATTTCCAACTTGGGGATTGAATCTGGTGGAAATGGTGCACCATACATCACCCTTGATTTCCGTTTTCTCTTGGTGCAAACCCAAAACTGAATTTTGGTTTGTGAACAAACAAAATTCAAATTTGGAATTGAAAATTCGCATGGGTGCTATGGTAATGGTCTTTACACTTTTTTGAGTTAATTGGATAAGGAACTGCTGCCAGTATATATTTTTTTGACTGGATATTGACATATGATTAGGTATGTATCATACTGGACAGCTTATGCAATCATTATCAGCTGTATTGGGTTTTTTTTCAAGATGGAACAATTGTGGAGCAAATGATCTCAGCCAACCTATGTATGCTATTGCCTCAATCAACTGAGAATACTTCACAGGTCAGGGATGTCACTTGGATATGCTTGATCAACATAGATGAGCCTAACTTTGCCAAAGTAAAAGAAAAGGAGCATAAAAAACATGCCAAAGCAGCATTCAGCCAGCCAGAAAAGCAACTCATCAAGAAAAGCAGTGAAAAGAAAAAGCAAACAAGCTAAGAACTAGCTATCATCATCAGCAGGAATGTGATGCAAATGGAGAATAAAATCAAAACAGAATTTGTATCAAATGCACATAAGATAAAAAGACAATCTGCTGAGATATATATTGCAAGAAAGAAACAACATTACTTTTGGGAACTATCAGGTTATAAGAAACATCAAACACATGCCCTCTGTGTGTTCACTTTTCACTCAAACAAAAAAAGTTGATTTTCTTTTATCTTTCTCACAAATTTTAAAATCTTGTTTTCTATTATTATATCTTCATATTCATTCTTTGAAACCCATCTCCCACCACTCCACAAAATCTTGTGACTTGTTGTTTTTGGGTCCCTGCTGTGGAGCTCAAAGCAGATGGCTATAAACATCTGGGAGGAGACTGTACATATAGTCCTTCCAGAGGCCAATCTCCAGGAATCCCTCAAATATTACTGCAAATTCAGATGTCAAGTCTAAAGACAACAATATAACCAATCCAATCAAATACGGTATCAGCCATTTATTGGATCAGATTGATTTTTCAATAACCAGTGTAAGAATCAAAAGTGGTTGTGAAACCCTTTTGCTGAATGGAGAAGGGGATGGTGGAGTTGCAAGCTCTGCCCTTCTATGCTATCAGAACAACAAGACCACCAAGCTTAGCTTGGCAGTTATATTTATCATGATAGAGGATAGTTCAATATGAAGCTTCCAAGTGATGTGTATAAGGGTCTGAAGTTGTTAATGAGTGATGATTATATTGGTGAAGCTGTTGTTAAAAGCTTTAAAACCAAGGGGCGGAGCTCTGGGAGCACTACACTTCAACCAGTAATGGTATGTGAGGCAATTTATGGGCACTTGACACTTGTTATGATGATGAAAGTGTCATGTTTATATTTCAATATAATGTGTTGTCATGGCTGTCCCTTGTATATAATTTGTAATATGGTTTGAGATGATCTGGTCCTCTGGTGGAATGATGGAGGGAAGAACTGGCAGGCAGAGGCCTCCTTATATAGACAAGTGTGAGGAATTTTAGCCCCAGGGTACAGGCATTTGTGGCATTTTAGCTGGCCTGAAGATCCAATGAGGTATTTTAGCTAGTATATTATATGCAGGTGAGGAAATTTGGCTGGTGAGAGCACTGCCTTGAGGGATTTTGGCTAGCCTACAAGGTCCTACTACGAAGGAATGCATGTGCACCTACAAAGGAATTCAATATGCATTATGAGCTATAAAAGGAATTCAATACAACACAAAGGAATTCAATTTTAAATATGCATCCTGTTGAATTTTCACTCCTGTCACCAATCCATAAGCTTGTGAAAGGTGATTGTCCTTGCTGCGTTGTCCGCAGTAAAACCTCCAACCGCTTAGGGTTTCTCCATCCCTGGAGGATAAAAAGAACCCTCGACTCGATCTCTTCACTTAATTTCTGGATCGCCGATAAAGACTCGCAAGACTCTGGACGTCCAACATCCCTCAAATTCAAATCTTCCTCAATTTTACTCAAGACATTCAGCTCCGGCTGTTCTTCATCGGGCATCACGTTCTCGACGTGCTGTTTGTTTTTCCTTCTTTATTCTTTCATGATTCTCTTTCTTTCTATCTTCTGTTGTTTGATGAGAAAATAAAATCGCTAATCTTTTTCTTCTTTAATCCTTAGTTGTGCTTCTTTGATTTCTGTCTCCTTACTTCTTTTCAAGTCCTCATCTTTATACATCTCTTGTCCATCATTGGTGGTATGTTTTCTTCTTTCTTATTTTCTTTCCTTTTATATTTTTCTCTGATTCCTTGTCTTGTAGTCTGGTTTTTTGGTTCTTTGAAATCACATCAGAATTTCTTCACGATTAACAGTCGAATCGACAAATTGAACGACCAACTTATCTTTTTCCAAACCAGACTCCAATACCTGTCGTGATGGACGCTGTCAACCCTACCATATTGAAAACGACAATCGAGGCTATTCCGGTTCTTACCGAAGAAAACTTCTCCACTTGGAAGACGCGAATTACAGCTCTCTTTAAACTCGGAGGCCTTAAGGACAAGATCATCGATGGAGAACCCGCTCTCGACGATGTTGACAACACAATCCTGTGTGCTGTCATTCTTGCTAAACTGTCCACTACGACTCACAAGAACGTCGTCAACTCGAGCAATGAAGAAGACGCTCAGTTACTCTGGAAAAACATCATGAAGCGCTTCATCTCGAACGAACCGTCCAATCGCGCCCGAGTCTACAACTCATTTGCTAGCATTGCCTTCGATCCTAGCAACATAGAAAAGTTCATTACAGAAGTAAGGAGCGTCATCGCTCGAATGGAAGACGTCGGCATTGAAATGCCTGACGATATTCTGACCTACGATCTACTTCGTCGAATTCCTTCCAGTTTAGACAATATCAAGCAGAAGATCACTCACTCCAAAGATGGCGAGGATATCAAACCTGAAGTTCTCATCGATCACCTAGAGATCCATCTTAACGAACTCAAGGTCTCTAACGGCAGCAAGTCCGAATCGCTCGAGTCTACGATGTTTACTAAAGAAGACACCAACTGCAAGCCTGGGTTTCACAACCCGTTCGCAACTACTCATATCAAAGAAAACTGTTGGAAGATCTATCCGGAGAAGAAAGAAGCCTACCTGAAGAAGACTCAAGGATCGAATGTTAGCAGTTTCTCCACTTTTTCATCTCACCTTCCTCATGTATTCATCCTTGATTCCGGTTCCTCCTCACATATGGTTTCTGACAAGCGAATGTTCATCTATCTAGACGAAACCGAAAAAGGATTAATTAACACTAGTTGCGGTTCCAACACTCTGAGAATTGAAGGAAAAGGAACCATCTCTTTCAATTATAAGAGCTCGCCTATTACTTTTCATAATGTTCTCTTTGTTCCAAAAATCTCTGTCAACTTGCTTTCTCTCAGACATCTTCTTCTCGAGCAATGCAAATTAAACTTTCTTGTCAATCACTTCACTATTCATAAGAATGATCAACTTTTTCTTGAAGGAAATTACCACAACAACATTCCTGTTGTCAACCTTGAGACCCATCATCAACACTCTCATTTGAGCTCTGCCGAATTTCTTCATAAATCTCTTGGCCATGTTAGCTACTGGCGCATAAGAAGCAAGATCGGCATACCCATCAATGCTCCCGAAACTTGCAAATCTTGTGCACTTGTGAAAATAACCAAGGCATCATTTAAGTCTAGGTCCTCATCTGCTTCGAAACCCTTTGAGGAAATTCATCTCGACCTCATCGGTCCAATCACTCCCTCGTCTCATCGCAAACACCAGTACATTCTCACAATGGTCGACAGCAATACCCGATTTGTGTCGGCTGTTCCTCTGGTTTCTAAAGGAGATGTGTTTTCCTCACTGTCACGCCTTCTCGATGTTGAAGCAAAGAGATTGGGGTACAGTGGCGCGCGGCATTCTACTGTACAAGGCCACCCGCAAATGTTGATTAGGTCGCGTGGGGTTGATCCTCACCCCCGACGGGGGTCCAGCACCTGTAAAGAACACATTTTTGGAGTCTACAAGGTGTGTAGATTCCAAATCTAAATTGGCAACCAATTTGGTCCAGCCAAAAAAAAAAAAAATCTTTTTTTCACCGGACCATTCGGTCACAGGCCAAATATGGGGGCCTAAGTACATAAATATGCAATAGGCTGACACCATAAACCCATACTTGTATGGCTATATGTCAGCCTAAGCCCATACACATAAGCTTAAAGCCAATGTATATGCTCAAAAGTGCATCCACTGGCTCGATTACAGCAGCGTGGATGTCAGATTGATGTCTCAACACCCCAAAACTTAACAAAAAAAATCAAATTTTTCCAAATTTTGGGTCCCGACCATTCGGACATCCCAAAATCCTGTACAGTACAATGCCGCGCGCAACTGTATTACCCGTCAGTCCTTCACTCTGATCGTGGCACTGAGTTTGTTAATTCGAACCTGGAAAACTATTGCAAGGAGCATGTCATTCGACAGCGATTCTCTGATGCTTACACTCCTCAGCAGAATGGACTGGCTGAACGCTTCAACAGGACCATTCTTGAATCTCTTCGTACCATTATCCTGGACTCTGGTCTCAGAAAGAATCTGTGGAATGAAATTC